CAACATAATTCTAATGAGGACATTAGCCATACAGTGATTGATTGATTGATTGATTGATTGATTGAGAGACTACATTTAGCAATAGGGGACACCAGAAATGGGCTGGAGTTTAGTTTTACGCCGCACTCAGCAATATTCCAGCTGTTTGGCGGGTCCGCTCTGAAGTTGGCAACCGTACAACTTTGCTGTTCTTACCATGATTGTGCTCTTTACAGGGTCTTCAGGATGGAGGAGCTCAAAACGGAACTGAACCAGAGACTGAACGTCATCGAGAAGCGCATGGAAAGTATGTACCTTCCTATAACCAGTTTAACTCTATGATCGTTAATCTATTTGGGATGGATATTTCTTCGATTGTTGTGGTGATGAAACAAGAAAAGTGCTTGTCCTTTAGACACGGGATATGTATGTTTTTCCGTAATATCCGGACCAGTGCGTGCGTGCGTGCGTATGTGTGTAGCGTGTGTCTGCATGTTATGCCATCCTCCGGTTTAGCTTGGATACCCAATCCACACTTATTTAGACCCGCAAGAGATCTGGAGAGTAAAGTAGCTCTCTCTGTGTGCATTTAAGGCTAGGGTGTGGGTTGGAGAAGGAGAGTAACGTAGCTCTCTGTGTGTGTGTATTTAAGGCTAGGGTGTGGGTTGGAGAAGGAGAGTAACGTAGCTCTCTCTCTGTGTGTATTTAAGGCTAGGGTGTGGGTTGGAGAAGGAGAGTAACGTAGCTCTCTGTGTGTATTTAAGGCTAGGGTGTGGGTTGGAGAAGGAGAGTAACGTAGCTCTCTGTATCTCTAGGGTGTGTCTCTCTCTGTTAAAGGCTAGGGTGTGGGTTGGAGAGGAAGAAGTAACGTAGCTCTGTGTGTGTGTATTTAAGGCTAGGGTGTGGGTTGGAGAAGGAGAGTAACGTAGCTCTCTCTGTGTGTATTTAAGGCTAGGGTGTGGGTTGGAGAAGGAGAGTAACGTAGCTCTCTCTCTGTGTGTATTTAAGGCTAGGGTGTGGGTTGGAGAAGGAGAGTAACGTAGCTCTCTGTGTATTTAAGGCTAGGGTGTGGGTTGGAGAAGGAGAGTAACGTAGCTCTCTCTCTCTGTGTATTTAAGGCTAGGGTGTGGGTTGGAGAAGAGAGAGTAAACGTAGCTAGCTCTCTGTGTGTGTATTTAAGGCTAGAGTGTGGGTTGGAGAAGGAGAGTAACGTAGCTCTCTCTCTGTGTGTGTATTTAAGGCTAGGGTGTGGGTTGGAGAAGGAGAGTAACGTAGCTCTCTCTGTGTGTGTATTTAAGGCTAGGGTGTGGGTTGGAGAAGGAGAGTAACGTAGTATCTCTCTCTCTGTGTATTTAAGGCTAGGGTGTGGGTTGGAGAAGGAGAGTAACGTAGCTCTGTGTGTGTGTATTTAAGGCTAGGGTGTGGGTTGGAGAAGGAGAGTAACGTAGCTCTCTCTGTGTGTATTTAAGGCTAGGGTGTGGGTTGGAGAGTAACGTAGCTCTCTCTCTCTGTGTATTTAAGGCTAGGGTGTGGGTTGGAGAAGGAGAGTAACGTAGCTCTCTCTGTGTGTATTTAAGGCTAGGGTGTGGGTTGGAGAAGGAGAGTAACGTAGCTCTGTGTGTGTGTGTGTGTGTGTATTTAAGGCTAGGGTGTGGGTTGGAGAAGGAGAGTAACGTAGCTCCTTGTCTGTGTTTGTTTTTAAGGCTAGGGTGTGGGTTGGAGAAGGAGAGTAACGTAGCTCCTTGTCTGTGTGTGTGTTGGCGTGTCGGTGGGGAGGCAGGGGTGTTAGCAGGGGTGTTAGCAGGGTGGACGGTGGTGAAGCGGGCTTGGGCGGTGGATTGTTGACTTTAACGTCTCTTGTTCTAAGTAGTGGAGGGACTTAAAGCTGTGGAGATAGAGAAGTGCAAGCGAGACATCTCCGATATCAAGGACCAGATCTGGAACGCACAGAAGAAGTACGTTGACTTGAACAAAATGAGGTAGGCCACGTCCTACCTGGCACTGCACTGCTGCAACAAAGTACCAGTCTAATAAAAAACAAGTACCTTAATTGACATGCAAATTCGATACCTGTACAAAGAACGAGTAACGGAGCCTCTCGTGGCATTGTATGTTACTTTTGTTCGAAGCTTGACAGGGGTCGATTGTACCCGAGAGTATGGGTATTGCCTCCCTTGCTTCTGTCAGGATCCGCTGATTCAAAACCTTAATTAATTCTGATCATAATTCTTGGTGGGTCAGTTTCCACATTTTCCACGTGAATGTGTCGTTTGTGGCTTTCATGTGGACTTAGAGGCCGTGATATAACTGAAATACTGCTTTAGGCGGCGTTAAACACCACTCCATCACTCTTAAAATGAATTTACTGTTATAGACTATTTAAGCCATGTTGTTGCATGACTATAGACTGCCGGGTGAAAGAAAATATACACTTGATAATTAGATATAACCAAAGCATTATTGAGGTTTCCAAACATTATTAGGCTGAAAACAGTCGCCGAAACACAACAAAGTTAAAGCCCCAAAACACAGCTATCATATGTGTATCAAACACAGCCTTGTCGAAGAATCATTTCTTGTCTTGTTTCAATTTTAAGCTCTATTAAACTCGGGTATTTGGTAGCCTAGTGGTTAAAGCGTTCGTTCGTCACGCCGATTTCCCGGGTTCGATTCCCCACATGGGTACAATGTGTTAAGCCCAATTCTGGTGTCCTCCACCATCATATTGCTGGAATATTGCTAAAAGCGGCGTAAAATTGATTTCACTCACTCTATTAAAGTTAGGTGTATCCTTTGTTTTGTCCGGTAGTTTGGAGTTCAATTAAGTAGCATTCCACCTAAGAATCATGTAGAGGTGAATAAGTGAAAATTTCATACTCACTTGAACATTTATCATTCTCTTTATTTGGCCTTTAAAATGTCATGTCACTCAGAATGCTGAATTTCGGTGCAATTACGTATTGGGGAGTCTGATGGTCCAAGAAGGCCCTAATTTGGGGTGGCATCTAGGCTTTGACTTCTGAAACATAAGCTCATCGTGTCAAATACAACAACGCACTGTCTACGTAGTTCATTTCTAACGGGTGAAAATACATTCAACCCTGTAGCAATTATTAATTAATGCTTTCGAATTATAACAACCAATGTTCTATATGTTACGTACCCATATACATTGAAACCCCGTTAATCCGGCATGTATCGCCCGGATAAACGAATCAGATGGATGTTGCCAATAGCAACGGTCCATAAACTGAGGGGTGCGGATTATCGAGGTCAGGACTAAATCGTTCTGAATCCACCGAGTGCGGTTTAACGAGGTTTCGCTGTTTCGTTTGCAATTTGACCCCTAGCTTAATTAATCCTTCTTTAAATACCTTAAGGCCCCTTTTCTTGAGAATGGATATTATTGTCAATGGTCTACCCACCGTCATTTTTTGTCAGTTTTAGTTTTAGCCACCCATTATTAGTGTATCTGTTCGCACACTTCTCCTAGCCGGCCTTGTCCCTGTGATAACAATCTCGATCGTTTTTATAGTTATTTGAGCGACGAAAAGAAAATCAGCTTGAAGAGAGATGTTCCCACATATCCGAAGGTAAACAAGGTCCCTGTCGACACACTTAGCCAATCACGGATGCTCGATTTGTCACGTGTCATCAGATGTTACTTACGTTCCAAAGCAGCCATCTTCAGAGAACCCTTTAATCTATGATATCATTTATAATGTAATATTTTTCCATTAAGAATTAGTCATATTGGATGTCGAAAATATACTCAGAACATGGCTGCTTCGTCACGTTTAGTTGGAACAAGAACACACTAACACTGAAAGTAACTGTTTAAGGCCATAACACTGGATGAAAGCAGCTTTTACAAATGTAGAAGGAACGCGAAAAGATGGCCGGAAAAGACTGAATTTCAGGAAAATTCAAAAGTAAAGAACTCGTATGTAAACACATGTTGCTATCTTTATTATACTTTCCAGAACATTCCACACCTTTAAAAAAATGTAATCGTAATATGTTGAAAGAGTCATATTTCGTATTTTAGTTTGGAAAAAGTGCTTTTTCATCTTGCCTCTGGAATTTGAAACTTTCAGTGTCGTTTTCTTGATTCTCTGAACTGCAGTTTTAGCACGACGAGTGTCTTCATGACCCTGCACGTTTGTTTCTATCCTGTCAATCAAGGGATTCTACACGACCCAAACAAATAAGCCCCTGTCCAGAAAATCCACCAGGTGGTCGTATTCGGGCGACCCGTTCTCCTGGTTCAGAAACCAAAGCGGTTGGGTTGGGGTGATCTGTGTTTACAGTTTGAGTCATCTGTGTTTACATACTGAACATTCGTAAATATTAAGCAACGTTTTCATAATTATTGTTAGATGACTCAAAATGCTTGCACAGATCGCTTCCACATTTCTCTGGTGGTTGACCCGAACGCAACCTGCGACTATGTTTTTGAGTCACTCTGTTCTTCCCAGCGAGGTGCCACCGACAGACAAGAACTTGTCCCGAGCCAAATCGCCTCCGATGTATGAGAAGGTAACGAAAATAGGTGACAATTTCCGCGCCTTTTCCGCCGCCCAGCAATGGCACTCAGAGACTGGCACCCTGTCTTCAATGCATGGATAAACCGGTGTTATCTCTTTTTGTATGCTGTAAGATATGCGCAAACATCTGTGCTTTGTAAGCAATACTCTGAAGGGAAAGAGTCAGTGAGTGAGTTTAGTTTTACGCCGCACTCAGCAATATTCCAGCTACATGGCGGCGCTGAAGGGAAAGAGGTCCAAGTTGTACATCTGATGTTCAAAAAGAATTTGAAAAATATGCTGATCTGTGTTGATTACTTACAGAATTATTCAAGTAAACTGTTGTTGTTTTTTTACAAAATTGCACTTATTTTTGAAATATGCTGAAAAAAACTCAGGAGTCGTTTTGTATAATTTTATGTGGTGAAGGTTCATAACACAGGTTTCATGAAAAGATCCCTAAAGATATTTTTTATCCTTTTTTTCTCGATACATGTCCATGTAGCGCTTGAAATAATGTAGCTGTTTTTTTTATTTATGTCATGTTTTTTATCGCAGTTGCCTTAGTAACTGAGCGGAAGTAGGATACCAGTCTATATCACGCGTCACGTGATTCAAAATGGGGTTTTCACGAACCTCTCGTATTGAAGGTTTAACTGTGGTTGTGAGTGTATATTATTTCTGTGAAAATCCCATTTTGAGTTCACACGTGTACATTCTTTAAACTGTTTGGGTGTAGGGAAACCAAACAGTTTTTGAAGCCAGGAAAAGGTGAAGGACGTCGCTGTGCATGTGTAGAGTATCCCTATGACCTTGTTGATTGTTCTAAAGAGTTTTATCCATGTTTGTATTCATCTTCGATATCGTTGTTATGTATATTGATATGATCAGTTCCGCCATTGGCGGCCAAGTCTTCTGAGTCAACGCAGTACCTTGTGTTGCGTCCCTCTTGCGTGTAAGAAACCTTTCATGTTGAGTTCGAATCCTGGTGCAATAGCATTGCTCGAATCATATAATGACGCGCAAATGGTTGATGGTGCAACAGGTGCAGCTACAATCTGACATTCTGTTGAAAATTCCACCTTTCTGACAAAACATATACATATTTATGAATACAGAATATAAAAGGTCACATGGAATCACCTGCATCACGTGACTTGCGGTTCTTGAAGATGAGGAGCCATCTCTGAAACTCCAGAACTCTGCAGCACTCTAAAGCACGTCTAATTCGTCTTTTTAAATGACCTTACCCGTAAGGTCCGGGTTAGATTGGATCTTTAGCAACACATGTTTGTCGTAAGAGGTGACTAACGGGATCGATTGGTCAGGCTCGCTGACTTGGTTGACCCACATGTCATTGTATCCCAATTGCGTAGATCGATGCTCATGCTGTTGATCACTGGATTGTCTGGTCCAGACTCGATTATTTACCGACCACCGTCATATAGCTGGAATATTGCTGAGTGCGTCGTAAAACTAAACTCACTCACTCTTAAATGACCTTTTAATGTAAGTAGTCTCGTATCCCAGCCACAACCATCTGACAGACCTTTCTGACACAATTCCCCCAATTGTGTTATATTTGTTATTACTTGTTTGAGGATCCAACAAATTTGTGACTTTGTTCTCATGTAAACGCTAAGAAATGATTAGCTTTCGTGTCACGTCTGATATAAAGGAAAAAATATATAATCTGTAAACCCTATATCCTAACCGGCAATATCAGAGAAACAGAGTTCAGATTAACTCAACTTTATTTCGACCACCGACAAAGGCCTTGATAAAAGAAATAGTTTAGCGAAAGGTAATTGAATCAATCATGTTTCTCTTACCTTCATGTCGGAAATGTGTTTTAAAGGCGGACAATTATCTAGCTAGGAAAAGGTTTGCCTTTTTGTGTCGCAACTATCCAGGGGAAAGTCTTTGCGAAGAAGAACCATGTTTTGCGTGGAATGGTTTAGATGCCAGTCCCTTTGTTTAAAGTGCAGTGATGTCTCCTGATTATTATGACTATTATTGACACGGTCCCTCTGAAATCTGCCCTCAGTACACACTATCCCAGGAGACAGTGGATTACCTGAAACAGCCGACATTCGACATGTGGCATTGGGAGCCTAACGAGGTAAGGGACCGTATAAGAAGCTTTTCTGAATTTTCATGACTGAACCATTGAGGTATACCTGAACAGATGAACAATGTTACACTGTGGGTGATGTGTGTTGTAAAGATGCACAATGTTATAGAGTGTGTGTTGTATAGAAGTACAATGTTACAGAGTGTGTGTTGTATAGATATACAATGTTACAGTGTGTTGTATAGATGTACAATGTTACAGTGTGTTGTATAGATGCACAATGTTACAGTGTGTTGTATAGATGTACAATGTTACAGAGTGTGTGTTGTATAGATGCACAATGTTTCAGTGCGTTGTATAGATGTACAATGTTACAGTGTGTTGTATAGATGCACAATGTTACAGTGTGTTGTATAGATGTACAATGTTACAGTGTGTTGTATAGATGCACAATGTTACAGTGTGTTGTATAGATGTACAATGTTACAGTGCGTGTTGTATAGATGCACAATGTTACAGAGTGTGTGTTGTATAGATGTACAATGTTACAGAGTGTGTGTTGTATAGATGCACAATGTTACAGTGTGTTGTATGGATGTACAATGTTACAGTGTGTCTTGTATAGATGCACAATGTTACAGAGTGTGTGTTGTATAGATGTACAATGTTACAGTGTGTTGTATAGATGTACAATGTTACAGTGTGTGTTGTATAGATGCACAATGTTACAGAGTGTGTGTTGTATAGAAGTACAATGTTACAGAGTGTGTGTTGTATAGATGTACAATGTTACAGTGTGTTGTATAGATGTACGATGTTACAGTGTGTGTCTTGTATAGATGTACAATGTTACCATGTGTGTGTTGTATAGAAGTACAATGTTACAGTGTGTGTTGAATAGCTGTAAAATGTTACAGTGTGTGTTGTATAAATGTACAATGTTACAGTGTGAGTTGTATAGATGTACAGTGTTACAGATTGTGTGTTGTATATATGTACAATGTTACAGAGTGTGTGTTGTAAAGATGCATAATGTTACAGAGTGTGTGTTGTACAAATGTACAATGTTACAGAGTGTGTGTTGTATAGATGCATAATGTTACAGAGCGTCTGTTGTATACATGCACAATGTTACAGAGTGTGTACTGTACAGACGCACAATGTTACAGTGTGTGTTGTATAGATGCACAATGTTACAGAGAGTGTGTTGTATGGATGCACAATGTTACAGTGTATGTTGTATAGATGCACAATGTTACAGAGTGTCTGTTGTATACATGCACAATGTTACAGAGCGTGTATTGTATGGATGCACAAAGTTACAGTGTGTGTTGTACAGATGCACAATGTTACAGAGAGTGTGTTGTATAGATGCATAATGTTACACAGCGTGTGCTGAATAGATGCATAATTTTACAGCGTGGGTGGTGTGTGTTGAACAAGTTCTGGTTGTCGATGTGGGTGTTAAAGGTGGTATACATTAAACAATTATTGTACACGTGGTCAGAGTTACAGTGTGGTTTAGGTGGTGATACTATGTTGTACAGATGCTGAGCCTGTTGGAGCACATGTACCATGAGCTGGGCCTGGTGAAGGAGTTCAGCATCAACCCCATCACCCTCAAGAGGTGGCTGGTGAGTAGCCTCAGTGACAGGCACACACACATATCACGGTTTGAAACTCAGATTCTGACACAGAAGGTTCAGACACATACAGACTCAGACACAGAAGGTTCAGAAACATACAGACTCAGACACAGAAGGTTCAGAAACATACAGACTCAGACACAGAAGGTTCAGACACATACAGACTCAGACACATACAGACTCAGACACAGAAGGTTCAGGCACATACAGACTCAGACACAGAAAGTTCAGACACATACAGATTCAGACACAGAAGGTTCAGACACTTACAGACTCAGACACAGAAGGTTCAGACACATACAGACTCAGAAACAGAAGGTTCAGACACAGAAGGTTCAGACACAGAAGGTTCAGACACATACAGACTCAGACACAGAAGGTTCAGATACATACAGACTCAGACACAGAAGGTTCAGACACATACAGGCTCAGACACAGAAGGTTCAGACACATACAGACTCAGACACAGAAGGTTCAGAAACATACAGACTCAGACACAGAAGGTTCAGGCACACACAGACTCAGACACAGAAGGTTCAGACACATACAGGCTCAGACACAGAAGGTTCATACACATAGACTCAGACACAGAAGGTTCAGACACATACAGACTCAGACACAGAAGGTTCAGACACATACAGACTCAGACACAGAAGGTTCAGAAACATACACTCAGACACAGAAGGTTCAGACACATACAGACTAAGACACAGAAGGTTCAAGCACATACAGGCTCAGACACAGAAGGTTCAGACACATACAGGTTCAGACACAGAAGGTTCAGACACATACAGGCTCAGACACAGAAGGTTCAGACACATACAGACTCAGACACAGAAGGTTCAGACACAGAAGGTTCAGACACATACAGGCTCAGACACAGAAGGTTCAGACACATACAGACTCAGACACAGAAGGTTCAGACACATACAGGCTCAGACACAGAAGGTTCAGACACATACAGACTCAGACACAGAAGGTTCAGACACATACAGACTCAGACACAGAAGGTTCAGACACATACAGACTCAGACACAGAAGGTTCAGACACATACAGACTCAGACACAGAAGGTTCAGACACATACAGGCTCAGACACAGAAGGTTCAGACACATACAGGCTCAGACACAGAAGGTTCAGACACATACAGACTCAGACACAGAAGGTTCAGACACATACAGGCTCAGACACAGAAGGTTCAGACACATACAGGCTCAGACACAGAAGGTTCAGGCACATACAGACTCAGACACAGAGGTTCAGACACATACAGGTTCAGTCACAGAAGGTTCAGACACATATAGGCTCAGTCACAGAAGGTTCAGACACATATAGGCTCAGGCACAGAAGGTTCAGACACATATAGGCTCAGGCACAGAAGGTTCAGACACATATAGGCTCAGACACAGAAGGTTCAGACACAGACACACGAGTACAGACACAGAGACGAGGACAGATACAGACACAGCCACACGAGTACAGATACAGACATAGCCACACGAGTACAGACACAGACACAGGCACACGAGTACAGGGACAGAGACGATTACAGATACAGACACAGAGACGAGCACAGATACAGACACAGAGACGATTAAAGATACAGACACATACACACGAGCACAGATACAGACACAGGCACACGAGTACAGACACAGACACACGAGTACAGATACAGACACAGACACACGAGCACAGATACAGACACAGACACACGAGCACAGATACAGACACAGACACACGAGTACAGATACAGACACAGACACACGAGTACAGATACAGACACAGACACACGAGCACAGATACAGACACAGACACACGAGCACAGATACAGACACAGACACACGAGTACAGATACAGACACAGACACACGAGTACAGATACAGACACAGACACACGAGCACAGATACAGACACAGAGACGATTACAGATACAGACACAGAGACGAGTACAGATACAGACACACGAGTACAGATACAGACACAGACACACGAGTACAGACACAGACACGGAGACGAGGACAGATACAGACACAGACGAGGACAGATACAGACACAGACACAGATACAGACACAGACACAGAGTACAGATACAGACACAGAGACGATTACAGATACAGACACAGAGACGAGCACAGATACAGACACAGGCACACGAGTACAGATACAGACACAGACACACGAGTACAGATACAGACACAGACACACGAGTACAGATACAGACACAGACACACGAGTACAGATACAGACACAGACACTAGAGTACAGACACAGACACGGAGACGAGTACAGATACAGACACAGACGAGGACAGATACAGACACAGACACTCGAGTACAGACACAGACACAGAGACGAGGACAGATACAGACACAGAGACGAACACAGACACAGACACACGAGTACAGACACAGACACAGAGACGAACACAGACACAGACACACGAGTACAGACACAGAGACGAGCACAGATACAGACACAGACACAGAGACGAACACAGACACAGACACACGAGTACAGACACAGACGAGCACAGACACAGACACACGAGTACAGACACAGAGACGAGCACAGACACAGACACACGAGTACAGACACAGAGACGAGCACAGACACAGACACACGAGTACAGACACAGAGACGAGTATAGGTACAGACAGGGGTACAAACCAGCTTGGTTTAGTGACTGTGAATATTGATCACCTAATTACTCGGGTCACGAATAAAGAAAATATACCATGTATTTTTGTCTTGGGAGAATTGCTAAAAAAGGCCAAAAGGATAGATGAAAAGTCAACCGCCTGTGCTTAAATACATTCGATACTAACGCAATTGCAAAATGTAATGAAATTCCTGTGGAAAAAGAGAACGATCTCGAAAAAATACGATGCATTTCGAGATGTTTGCTGATTTGAAACTGAACTTGATGATATTTTGCCCTGATCCGACTTATTAACGGGAAACGCATGGCAACAAGGGTCTATATAAATTGTGGAATGACTTGGAAGGAAGCGAACTCTGCGAAGCTTTTGTTCAACAAGAACATCTTTTTCCACTTTCGAAGAAGCCAGACGCCGTTGACAGTACACTGGAACATTCGTAACTACTCGTCCCTTCCCGTAACCTGAAAGAAGACTCGCACCCCTCTCGTAGCCATTTTACTGAACTTGACTCTGTCTGAGCGCAAAAGCGCAGAGAGAAAGAAATAGTCTAGCCGCTGAACTATTTTCAAGGGCATGTTACTCTCGTTTACTAGGAAAACAAACATGGCATCTACGCCAAGGAAATTACCTCAAATGGTATGTTTAACATGCTTAACTACTTTCCTACGCCATAATGTTAATACATCCTGGTTATAAAAATTCAGGAAACCCAGGAGGACTATGCAATAATTAAAATATACTTGAAGTGTCTGGGGAAAAAATTATGCAAGCCGAAATGAAAATTATTTCAACTAACTATTTGACCTAATTGCTTCTCTACATACGCGCATTCTGATTGGCTGGGGGAATATTTCTTCCGCCGGACTACGAGATGGGTACGAGTCTTCTTTCAGGTTACGGAAAGGGACGAGTACAAAATGTAGTTACGAATGGTACATCGGAATTCCGACTGATGTCGAAACAATCCGGTTTTATCCCACTATATCTGAATGTCTGTCTTTTCAGCTGTGTGTGCAGGAGAACTATCGGAACAACCCGTTCCACAACTTCCGCCACTGTTTCTGCGTGTCCCAGATGATGTACGGGATGATCCAGCTGTGTCGACTATGGGACCACATGGCCAGGGAGGATCTGGGTATCCTGCTGACTGCAGCAGTCTGCCACGATCTCGATCACCCCGGATACAACAACACGTGAGCCACTTCCTGCAATGTTGTCTATGTCATAAAGTTTCCTGGGCCTGACAATCCAGTGATCAATTTCATGAACATCGATTGCGCAAACAAATCAGCAAGTAGCAATGCTCTATCCTCCTTCCCCGAGCGTTGCACTGACCAGAGGTGTGACGATACAGACTTTCACGATACTATACGTATCGCGATGTCTTTGAACGATACGATTCGATTCGATGTATATCACGATATGCTGTCTTTAGTTATTTTCTTTTAAAAAGTATATTTTCATAGCAAGTAACAGTACAAATTTTGACATTACCGTCAATTTCTAGTGAGAATTAACAAGTTTAAGGTCAACGATGCATATCACGATACGAAAACAAGTATCTATATATTTATCGTCAGATAAAGTATCACGATTATCGGTACTACGATATATCGTCACAGTTCTGCTGACCAACCGATCCCGTTAGTCGCCTAGCATGGGTTTGTGAGGACCAATTCTTCACGTGTGTGTTACAATATTGGTTGGTTGGTTGTTTTACGCCACACTCAGCAATATTCCAGCTATATGGCGGCGGCCTGTAAATAATCGAGTCTACACCAGACAATCCAGTGATCAGTGTTACAACAAGTGTAGGCGCCGTTGTATCTAAAGTGTAGGCGCCGTTGTATGTAACGTATAGGCGACGTTGTATGTAACGTATAGGCGACGTTGAATGTAACGTATAGGCGACGTTGAATGTAATGTGTAGGCGCCGTTGTATGTAACGTATAGGCGACGTTGTATGTAACGTATAGGCGACGTTGTATGTAAGGTATAGGCGACGTTGAATGTAACGTGTACGCTCCGTTGTATGTAATGTGAAGGCTCCGTTGTATGTAACGTGTAGGCTCCGTTGCATCTAACGTTGCGCATGTATGTAACGTATAGCTCCGTTGTATGTATAGGCTACGTTGAATGTAAGGTATAGGCGCCGTTGTATGTAAGGTATAGGCGCCGTTGTATGTAACGTATAGGCGCCGTTGTATGTAACGTGTACGCGCCGTTGTATGTAACGTGTAGGCGCCGTTGTATGTAACGTGTACGCTCCGTTGTATGTAACGTGTACGCGCCGTTGTATGTAACGTGTAGGCGCCGTTGTATGTAACGTGTAGGCGCCGTTGTATGTAACTTATAGGCGCCGTTGTATGTAACGTATAGGCGCCGTTGTTTGTAATGTGTAGGTGTCGTTGTATCGAAATTCTAACGTTATGAGCGATCAGGGAAATCGGGAAAGTTGCGCCAAGGTGACAAAGCCCGCTCACTAAACTACGGTTATGTCGAACTCAAAGGGACCATTAATTTTAGTTCCTTGTAACCGTAGGTCGTTACACTTACTTTGAATGTAATCTACATCAAGTGGCAGATGCAAAAAATACAATTATATCCGTTACTTTGTAATAAGCGTGTTCGTTGTAAAGGTAGGTTACACTAACTGTGGCGGCACTATCTCCTTGTAGCTTTGTCAGTTACCGATGCATCCCTCGCAGGTTTGTTAACAGGCTTCTCCGTTTTGACCATTACATGTCTCTCATCACAATACCATACCATCGGGAAGACTGAAAGACGAGACAAACGATGACATCAAACCATCTTACGCTACGATTCACACATTCTAGACATAGTGTTCCCATGAACCTACCGCGGACGTCATATATAAATTGGTCTCATCTCATTTGTTGTTCGGATCAATCTAAAAGACGGACCGGCGACTGCAGCCTTGACCCAGTTTGTCCCGGGATTCATCAAAGGGCAATTATTTTCATCAAACATTTTGTCATTATTGGATGTTTTCAAGGTTGTTACATGAAGCTATGATTTGAAGAATAGAAGGCCTAAAAAATAGGTCGTATTTTATTAATAATTCATTCATTCATTCATTCATTCATTCATTCATTCATTCATTCATTCATTCATTTATTTATTTATTTATTTAATTTCATTTATCATGTGAGTGTGTTTCTTAGCGACCAGCGTTATCCCACCTTCAAGACTCCGAGGCGTTAATGACTGTTGACCAGATAATCCAGTGATCGTTTTTAAAATCGATCAAGGCTGATGGGTATGAAGCCAATCCATTAGGTCCCTTCTTTCCACATGTGTTGCAAGGGAACCCGGATTCCAAACCTGTTCCCAATGGGAGCTAGGGATACAATCTACCCATCACGATAAAGTGCAACCCCATGAGTCAGGAAAACCATACTTTGAGGCATTCCGTTTAAGGAAGGTTTGCATGTAAAACAAAACACTACAGTGTTGCACAGTCACATGAAATCGACAGACCAACTCTGACGATTTGTCTCGTAATTTTGAATTTGTTAAAAGTGTTTAACAAACGATCATTATTTTGTTGTCACGCTTCCTTATTTTACGAGGGTGGGGGGTTGGGGGTGGACCACTTGCTGGCAGAACAACCAGGTGTGCAAGTTGCACGTGTGAAATTGAAATTTCATGGCACGCGCTTGTTGATTGTTGATTACTGACAACAAAATAATGATCGTTTGTTGAACAACTTTTTTATTCGGGTGTCCAAAATTATGAGACAAATCATCAGAGTTGGTCTGTCGATTTCATGTGACTGTGCAAAATTTGGTTTTGTTGCATTTATTAGATTTTGTGTTAGTAGGCAATTCATCGGTCTCAAATGAATCAAACGGACTGTTAATTATAATGATTCGTTACTCAAGCCTTTTGTCAATCAGGCTGATTGAACTTGGAACGTACCGTTTGCTTTGAGGTAGTTTCATTGAACAAATTAAAAGCAAAAGAAACTATACATATGAAAATATGATTTCACAAACAGACTGCAAACGCTGTCAAACGTTACTACACGGTCACCATGGTGACACATTATAACATTGCCCTGAGTTCCGTTGTTCCATTAGATCAACAGTTTGAAACACTAGAAGTGTGAACACTCCCCGATGCCTCTGGCTTAGAGCCGACTCTCAGGCACGTCTCCTACAGAGACCTATGGTCAGGAAATCAGCACGTGAACCCCAAACCTCTCGTCCACGTGACCCTGGGCCACCAGACATACTGTCACGGTGTTTGGCATCAGTCTTGGGGATTAGAGCACATGACATTTATCTCAAGACTTTGTCTTCTTGAGCATCAGTGCCCGAAACTCTGGATTTTGTAACATCAGTAGTTTGGTTGGAAAACCATTTACTTGTACCTGTCAGAACACATAAATCTTATAACGGTTGTAGCTGACCAGGTTTCTATTTAAATTCAATTTGTCTCTTGGGCTAGTGGTTTTAGCGTTCGGTCGTCATGCCGAAGATCCGTGTTCGATTCCCCACATGGGTAAAATGTGTAAAAAACCATTACTGGTGTCCCCGCCGTGATATGGCTGGAAAATTGCTTAAAGCGGCATAAAACTGAACTCACTCACTCTTTAGTATCTGGCGTCAGACGCCCAATGGATAAGGATAGGTGTATTTGTATCCTAGTTTGTATTTCGTGACTGTGTAACACGAGTAGTGTGCTTGCTTCTTGCAGTGTGAGAGGTTTATGAATGTATATTTTCTACTGCAGATATCAAATCAACGCCCGCACCGAGCTGGCCATCCGATACAATGATATCTCCCCCTTGGAGAATCACCACTGTGCCGTCGCTTTCCAGATACTCTCAAACCCAGAGTGTAACATCTTCGCTAACGTGGACAAGGACACGTTTAAGAGGATACGGGCGGTATGTTTCAGTAAACATTTAAACAGTTCACCCTAACACGTATAGGTAGCCATTACGGCCTTTGTTTGTAAGGGTGCGGTTGGGTGGCTTAGTGGTTAAAGCGTTCGCTCGTCACGCCGAAGACCCGGGTTCGATTTCCCACATGGGTACCGGTGTCCCCCGCCGTGATATTGCTGGAATATTGCTAAAAGCGGCGTAAAACCATACTCACTTTAATCTGCAAGAAAGAGTCGCCCTCAGATCATGTAATTCAAAACAGACAAGTTGTGTTTATACATTTTAATCCGAAACACACAAGTAGGTTTCCTCTAATCTGCAGGAATTCCGTCTCTTTATCCTTTAATCCTTTTATGCCAACAACAACAAATCGCCTTAATATCAAGGCATCCCAGGTATAATCGTGTGTGAAGCTCATTTCTGGTGTCCCTGCCGTGATATTGCTTGAATATTCCAACTGTGTCACTCACTCCATGTGTCGTGTATGTTTCCCTGGCGCTGCATGTGTTGTGTATGTTTGACAGGGAATCACAATGCTGATTCTGGCGACAGACATGGCTCGTCACGCGGAGATCATGGAGAGCTTCAAGGAGAAGCTGGCACAGGGGTTCGACTACAAGCAGAAAGATAACCTAGACACGGTAAGTCTGATCTCATACACAAGCTGGCACACACGCACGCACGCACACGTGTATCCACACACAAACACATACACACGCTTGCTCGACCGTGTTGACGAACTGGGACTACTGTTTAGCTCCTTGTGGGCTTATTGTTGTGTAATACTACTCAAATATTGACCTAATTGTTGTGGAAAACTAGTGAAATATTCATCTTATTGTTGATGAATACAAGTCAATATTCAACTTACTGTTGTTGAATACTACTGAAATATTGACCTAATTGTTGTGGGATACAAGTGAGATATTCATCTTATTGTTGATGAATACAAGTCAATATTCAACTTACTGTTGTTGAATACTACTCAAATATTGACCTAATTGTTGTGGAAAACTAGTGAAATATTCATCTTATTGTTGATGAATACAAGTCAATATTCAACTTACTGTTGTTGAATACTAATCAAATATTGACCTAATTGTTGTGGGATACAAGTGAGATATTCATCTTATTGTTGATGAATACAAGGCAATATTCAACGTATTGTTTTGTAATACTATTCAAATATTGACCTAATTGTTGTGGGATACTAGTGAGATATTCATCTTATTGTTGAATACAAGTCAAACTTTGACCTAATTGTTGTTGAATACAAGTCAAGTATTGAGCATGTTCTCGTGGAATACGGATCACATATTCATGTTATTGTTGTAAACGGGTTAAATAACCACCATACTGCTGTAGAATAAAGGTCATTATATATATTCATCCTATTTTTTTGAGGAATACAGATCAAATATTCATCATGTCGATGTATACGGGTGAAATATTTGCGATAGTGTCATGCTATTGCTGAGCAATAATCTCTACATTGTAATATTTTTCACGATCATTCAAGATGTCTTGGACATTTTTTGAATAAATTAGTTTTATCAATATTAATATAATAATCGACCTTTCTGGCCTTTTTTGTCAAATTATCATATTGATTTTAAAAAAAGACAATGTCAGGAAAAGAATAACGGATATTTGCAGAAAATAACAGTAATTGAAATTATACAGAAAATGATACAAATACGGAAAACAGAAATTTCAAAACATAAATTGCGAGACATTGAAACTAAAAGTGAAAATATTTGAAAACAATTTAAATTATAGGAACCAAACTCGAAAGTTTTAAATAAAATAATAAATAAAGTAAAGAGAAAATAAGTAAAAGTGGGCTTTCGTGAATCATTCCTCAAGACGTTAGAATGCTTAAAGTGAAAAATGACTGAGACGGAAGTTTTATTCGAACCAACAATTAGTGGATCCTGATCAGCCTAAGGGAAGTGACTCTGCACACCAAACACTGGAGCCTGAAACACTAGGGTACCTGATAATGATGATAATGATGGCGGTGGATATAAAGATAAAGATGATCATGTTGATGATAATGGTAGTGATATTTAGAACAGTAATGACGACTGACGACGATGATGGTGGTGATGATTACTGACGACGACGATGACGATGAATATGATGGTGATGATGATGATGATGATTGACGACGATGACAATGACTGACGATGACGACGACGATGGTGATGACGTTGGTACACGACGGTTATGTTGCATGGTAACATGACAACAGTTACGATGATTATGACGATAAACATCACAAAGATGCTTGATGGAGCACCACCAACACCTGTAATGGAAGCTAATGACTACCCGTGTTAAAGCTACAACTTAGCAGGTCTATATAACGCAGGTACGGTTCAGTATCTCTGTGTAGCCAGTACAATAGCCACTAAAACGCCAGCGTCCATTATCAGCATCCCTCGGACTACTCCTGCCTTTCAAACATAAGTACCTAGCATCTATCTCGGTAAACGGCAGATGTGTTTTGAAGGTCAACGTTCAGAAACACCAATAGATACCGGATAAGTAATTGGGTGGTCTTAAGATGGGACAACGCTTATAACCATTTAGTTAATTGAGAACTGGCGTCGTAAATGGGATTAATGGAAGCTGTAACATCGATTACCAATGAGGTTACCCGTTTAATTAATGTATGAATTATTTATCTTATTGACCGGAGTTCAACCTCCAATGCATCCGCATTAAATGTCCACACGTTAGTTGTTCCAGTGCCGTGGTCAATCCCAGGTTCATCACTAAGGACAGCCACTAAAGAATATAATGGCATACCGTGGTATAAATTAAATATTGTTCATGGCATTAAAACAAACTCACTCAATCAATAGCTGATATCCGAGCCTTTATCTTTGACACACTATCGCCAAATATTCGAAAACTGACTAGCAAAAAAGTATTCATTTGGTAATTGGATGTTTTCAAGGTTTAGAAACGTCATCGAAACCGTATTACATGGAATACGGTCGTTGAAACACGGTAGACCTAAGTTCGAAATCATCAAATTCATCAATACATTGCTTACCATGTTTTGTTGGTTTTTCTAGCCATCAGACATCGGTGCAAACATTTATACGACTTTATATTTGAAATTTGACATTGCATCAGAGCATTCCACCAGTATCACGTGACATAGTTCTGGAATTACACAATATCATGTTGTCATCACCAGCTTAACAAACATCTCCGAGTCTCCAGAACTCCGTTATATAATGTGTTCATACATCGCATCACTGTAATTAAGGAAGTTTCTGCAGCTGACATAAAACTGGTTTATGACTGGCACACGTCTTGTAAATCTCACTAGCTATAATCGAGAATGATTCTTTCCCTCATAAACCTTCTCCAGGATCTGAGGTAGAAGAGCGCCGGTACCCAGACTCCGCCGAAATGCATCACTCGTGACGACGCCGTGTTGTAGATTGAATACAATGTCATTGAGCTCTTGTTTTATTCTCGCGGAACTGTGGTCGTGAATATCTCGTGTCGTGTACAACGGTTGTAGAACTTCCTAGTTAAGCTTGTTTTATGTGAGGTTAAACTTAAATTGACCTCCGGGGATTAATTTGTTTGGGAGGCTTGAGCTTCTTTGCTTGTCTATCTCCTTGTTTACTGCTACGTGGGCTGTCGACGGGAAAACTTTTTTTAAAAGATACCAAATTATTTTTAAACCCCTTTAGGGTTTGCCGACGTTAAATGCCAGTTATGTTGATGTTCCGAGCTGACCCATTTCATTTTAACTCGTTTCAAATTTTGTATTTTGTTTTTAATGGCATTTGGTGCTATTACAAAATACCATGCGTGATATTTACTGAAGGTTCACGAAGACTTTGAAAGGCGATTGAAGAAACACAAAAACGTATAAAGTTCAAATACCCATATTTAATGAGAGTGACGTTTTAGCATAATGTTAACGAATGGTTATTCCACAAAAGCTTAAACTTTAGAAGGAAAAAAGTCACAGAAATACAGTGGATTAAAATGAGATCCTTCACTTTGTGATTGTCAAAACAAGAGATTTGCTGGTCACTGCAAGTTGTTTTTACAAGATTAATTTCGAAAATGTCCAAGCCCCAATACTTTGCAAAAGTCCAGCTATATGTCGGCCGTCTGGAAAATAATCGAATCTGGACCAGAAAATCCAGCGATCATCAACATGAGTATCGATCTGCGCAATTGGGATACGATGACATGTGTCAACCAAAGCTGAAGACCAATTGTAACCCGGATGTTTACGGATCTGTTGCCGCACCGTCAACGTTTGATGACGTAAACGGCCATCGGCAACTACGTGTCTACTACACCTCGCTCCACAGTGGTTATGTTGAACTATTGGCTCTTGTTCGTTCATCGTCTGATATCACCTGTCGGGTGTGTCGTTACTGAGGTTGACGGGTGGTACTGATCGCCCTCTGACGTACCTTCAAGATGACCCCACACCATGTTGATGAGGTTCTGGGGGCGATGGGGTAGCCTAGTGGTTAAAGCATTCGCTCGGAAACAGGAAGACCTCCGTTCGATTCCCCACATGGGTACAATGTGTAAAGCTCATGTTTGTGTCTCTCGTGGTGATATTGTTGGAATATTGCTAAAAGCGGCATAAAATCATACTCACTCACTCCAAACATCATATAGTACGGGCGACCTAGTCCGACCTGACATCTACATAGTGATAGTGACATTTGTACAGTAAGCACGTGTTGCATAGTTTCAGGTCATATATGTGAGAGAAAAAACAGTAAACAAAAAGAACGTAAGGGGACAATTTTGTATGGATATACAACTTCTCTATTTTGTATAGGATTTGACATAGATTCTAATGTTGGTGTACAACATATACACAATGTTTGTGACTGGTAAGACTCAATAAAAACACTTTTAAAAATATATACGTTTTTTTGTGTGGAAAATATCCCTCATATCAGGTGTGTAGTTTATTTTGGTACGTCAGTATAGCAATACCAAATGTGCCACTACGGTACAATACAGAAAGTACAATGTTGATTAGTCCGTGAGTCCGTGAGAGGGTCAACTTCACTGTCTCATATTTGAATATTGATGAATGTCTATTGACAAAATATAAAATACGCGTTGCTTAGCAACATATCAGTATTATTGTGATTTATACGGGAGGTTACATCCTCGTTAATAATTAGCCTTTAACAGGCTGTCATTTGATGTCATTATTCAGAACACTGGGGATGTCGACAGAAGTATTGAACTGTCTGCCACTCAGCCTTTGAGTGCTGAATAAACATGGTCTATCAAATGTTCCTTTGAAATTATATATCCACTTCAGAACTGATATGGTGGGGCATTTGTGTTAGTCTTGTTAGTACAGCTGTTGCCTTGAGGAACTATTGTCTCTTGTTCGTTCATCGTTTGATATCACCTATCGGGTGTGTCGTTACTGAGGCAACGGATGGACCATTTCTATGCGTGTGGGACTGACTTTGTACTTCCACATTTCTACGCTACACATTAAAAAATTGTAATTTTTTAAACAATTTCAAGGCTGGCCCCCTGGTCTGGGGCGCCTCAGTTCGCTGTGAAGAGTTGTGTCCCTTGTATTTGTTCGAATCCGGGTTCGTACGTTTCTAGGTTTCTCGGCACCATACTCGTGCTCATTCGTGCCATCAACACGGGGGGTGGACGGTGGGGTAGCTTAGTGGTTAAAGCGTTCGTTCGTCACGCCGAAGACCCGGGTTCGATTCCCTACATGGGTACAATGTGTGAAGCGTATCATGGTGTCCCCCGACCGCCGTGATTTTGCTGGAATGTTGCTAAAAGAGCGTGATGTATGTCCGGACTACTGCTCTAAGCGGCGTTATGCGAGATTCCTTCGCTCACTCTACTGTCTCTACCTCAAAATATGACACATTCTTGTTTAGCAAAGGTGAAAAAAACACTTAGATTTAGAGGACAATAAGCGTTCTTAAAAAAAGTAAAAAAACAAAATGGCGGCCCGACAAAACTGCTTCTTGTTTCTGCTAAGACTCGACATTTTCGATTCATATCTTTGTGTTTGGGTTGTTTTCATTCAATTTGGCCAAAATATCCAACCAAGTACTTGATTCAAATTCACAATGCTAATATGGATACCTTTCTCAGACACCTCACCTGGACTCCCACCCGGCCACTCCTTGTCTTAGCATCCCATATTATAATATCCAGAGTGTGGATGATAACAACAAGTCATACTTTGACGTTTTTTGGTATCACCTGGCCGGGGATCGAACCTCTAATTTTCCCATCTCCATTCAGACGCCCACCCACAAGGCCACTGACGCCGTCCTTGTAACACAGATTCAGTACGCGCAACGCTGTGACCTTGCTTTAACATTGCACGGACTGAAATATTTAATTTCTTGATCAATAGCAAAATCTCCATGACTCATGGAACTATATTTTTCAAAATACCGAATGTGGAACCGCCGATAATAGCGTCAGATAAGGAATGTATTTTATCTCAGCATTAAATGATAATTATAGCAATCAATATTTAATGAAGCGGATCAACAGGATGTTCATTAAGATAATGATTGGTGCTCTAACTCATTCCGGTTGCGCTGTGATCAGATATTACAGTCATTGAATACTGGCACGACCCCAGGGAACGTGTACTCTTTTGTAAGATCATTTTGACAGGAAATATCTAGTTTATATAAACAGCGACGCTAGCATGTCCACATTGTAACCGCTTGTCCGAAGTTTGTAAGTTTGTAGACTGGGGGCAGGAAGGCCCTGCGGATTTCTTAGAAACGGAATATTCCTTTAAACACCTGGTGTCATCACTGATTTTCGGTGTTTCACTCATTTCACTTTCTGTCCATCAGCTTTCACTCACTCACAACAAACACAACGGTACAATCGGACGTTGAGCAAACCATCGTCAGCCATATCGAACACCAACAGTATTGAAAAGTCATTATATTCTGAAACCGCATCCAAACCATTGATCCTGGGTTTAAGTGTTGTTTACAAGGAAGCAGGGCTGTTTGGCTTGTTACCATAGTAACACTGTATGTAATTATCGACAGGCTAAATTAAATCGACCCAACGTCACGGGTTGTAATTCCTCTCGTTATTGTCGTCTTGTTAGAATGTGTTTCCAATCAGCACAATCAGATATTTCTAAAAGGTAATATCCGTGAAGCTCCGGGTTAGAATTGGTCTTCAGCTACCAATACATGTCGTAGGAGACGACTGACTGAGTTTGGTTTTACGCCGCTTTTAGCAATATTCCAGCAACATCACGGCGGGGACACCAGAAATGGGCCAGTTGTAGATCGATTGACCCGGGTCTTCTGACGAGCCAACGCTTTAATCATTAGGATTGTCTGGTCCAGAGACGACTAACGGGATTACACCGTCAGGCTCGCTGACGTGGTTGCACATGTGCGGCGTTAAGCAACAAACCGACAAACTGAAGGTGAAATAGGTGCCGGATGTAACAGTCCCCTAGTGTCAGCACGTCTTGTCATGTGGGGATCGTACACATATGTGATGTACTTCATGTATGTGGTAGAAAACACGGGTTCGATTCTTCACATGGGTACATTAAACGTTGCTTGTCACGCCGAAGACCCGAGTTCGATTCTTCACATGGGTACATTGTGTGAAGCCCATTTCTGGTGTCCCCCGCCGTGATATAGCTGACATTTGTCTGTTGCATCAACTAAACTGTAGTCGACTTGGGTCAGGGTCAGCTGATACATCGTGACACTACCTAACACTGCTTGACACAGACTGCCACAGTCTGAACCAACGAGATATTGCTTGACCCTACTTAGCCCTGCCTGACACAGATTACATAGTCAGATGTTGCTTGGCACTACCTAACACTGCCTGACATAGTCTCACATTGCTTGGCACTACCTGACACTGCCTGACAAAGTCTCACATTGCTTGGCACTACCTAACACTGCCTGACACAGTCTCACATTGCTTGACACTACCTAACACCGCCTGACATACTCTCACATTGCTTGACACTACCTAACACTGCCTGATACTGCTTGGCACTACCTGATACTGACACAACCTGACACTGTCTGACATAGATTGGCTACTGACAGAGCCTGACACTGCCTGACATAGATTGGCTACTGACACAGCCTGACACTGTCTGACATAGATTGACTACTGACACAGCCTGACACTGTCTGACATAGATTGACTACTGACACAGCCTGACACAGCCTGGCATACATTGACTACTGACACAGCCTGACACAGTCTGACATAGATTGGCTACTGACACAGCCTGACACTGTCTGACATTGATTGACTACTGACACAGCCTGACACAGCCTGGCATACATTGACTACTGACACAGCCTGACACAGTCTGACATAGATTGGCTACTGACACAGCCTGACACTGCCTGACATAGATTGACTACTGACACAGCCTGACACAGTCTGACATAGATTGACTACTGACACAGCCTGACACTGTCTGACATAGATTGGCTACTGACACAGCCTGACACTGTCTGACATTGATTGACTACTGACACAGCCTGACATAGATTGGCTACTGACACAGCCTGACACTGCCTGACATAGATTGACTACTGACACAGCCTGACACTGTCTGACATTGATTGACTACTGACACTGCCTGACATAGATTGACTACTGACACAGCCTGACACAGTCTGACATAGATTGGCTACTGACACAGCCTGACATAGATTGACTACTGACACAGCCTGACACTGTCTGACATAGATTGACTACTGACACAGCCTGACACTGTCTGACATAGATTGACTACTGACACAGCCTGACACTGTCTGACATGGATTGACTACTGACACAGCCTGACACTGTCTGACATAGATTGACTACTGACACAGCCTGACAGTTTGGCTACTGGCACAGCCTGACACTGTCTGTCACAGATTGGCTACAGACGCAACCTGACACAGCCTGACATAGATTGGCTACTGGCACAGCCTGACACTGTCAGCTACATATCTGCACATCATGCGTGATACGGTTTGACGGTTTGTGACGGCCTGACGGAGCCTGAAATAATCTGACAAAAGCTGCCACAGCTCTTCACACACTGACCTTCATTCATTGAAACTATTCCATGTTTCTATTACAGCTGAAGATGGTGCTGATCAAGTGCTGTGATATATCCAATGAGGTGCGGCCTATGGAGGTGTCGGAACCTTGGGTAGACTGCCTTCTGGAAGAGTATTTCAACCAGGTAGGCAATATAGGGGGATGCTGCTGCAGCTGATAATGATGAAGCTCACTATGACGATGATAGCATTGCGGATGCTCATGATGATTACGTTATTGATGATGATGATGATGATGATGATGATGATAGTGGCAGAGTGGATGCTCATGATGATTACGTTATTGATGATGATGATGATGATGATAGTGGCAGAGTGGATGCTCATGATGATTACGTTATTGATGATGATGATGATGATGATGATGATGATAGTGGCAGAGTGGATGCTCATGATGATTACGTTATTGATTATTGATGATGATGATGATGATGATGATGATGATGATGATGATGATGATGATGATGATGATGATGATGATAGTGGCAGAGTGGATGCTCATGATGATTACGTTATTGATGATGATGATGATGATGATGATGATGATAGTGGCAGAGTGGATGCTCATGATGATTACGTTATTGATGATGATGATGATGATGATGATGATGATGATGATGATGATGATGATGATGATGATGATGATGATAGTGGCAGAGTGGATGTTCATGATGATTTTATTGATGATGATGATGATGATGATAGTGGCAGAGTGGATGCTCATGATGATTACGTTATTGATGATGATGATGATGATGATGGCAGTGTGAATGGTGGTGAAGCGGATGTTCATAATGATTACGTTATTGATGATGATGATGATGATGATGATGATGATGATGATGATGATGATGATGATGATGATGATGATGATGATGATGACGGCAGTGTGAATGGTGGTGATGCGGATGTTATTGATGATCAATAGACTTGTTCATGGGAAATATGTTTCTAAAACAGAATGCTTCAGACTGTTGTTGCAAAACATTATGTTCAAGTACATTAAGTCTCCTTTGATCTCATAACCACGATATAAAAATCATTAAATCATTTCCGCTCTAGGTATTGTACATTAATTACTTAATGATGACATGCTCTTCTGACAACGTTCGTTGTTGTGTTTCGATTATTTGAGGCTTTACTGTGTAGATAGTTTGATACCCTCTCAAGTTGGCTGTCCAATGCATAACGTTGGCGCCAGGGAAGAACCGTTCCCGAGTATGAGTCGAAAGTCTTTATTGGGTTTTAAAAGCTAATTACTGGTGAGAATGATACACAGTGCAAGCCGTCTAAACCGGCATGACGTCGGATTAGAGTACGTGTAAATGATCATAAATTAACTAGCTTCTGCCGGGACCAAATTCTAGTGCCGATATTGAGGGCATGCCGGATTGGGGGGGCTGTCGGTTTAGAGGGCTTCCACTGTATGTGGGAAGTAAACATCAGTGACGACACCGGGTGTTTAGGGAATAGGGAAAGGATGTCCTACCCTATCTGTAGCATTGGACACTCACACAATGTCAGTTAGATAGAACGTGTTTGGTTGTTGCCTTGACACAGCAACATCTCAGCTGTGCTGTTGAGAGGAGTACTGCTGTAAACAAGCCTTACAGCGGAGAAGCAAGTGATCTTAAACAAAGCAGACAAACGAATCATCAGAGCAGACAAGCAAGTGATCTTAAACAGAGCAGACAAACGAATCATCAAAGCAGACAAGCAAGTGATCTTAAACAGAGCAGACAAACGAATCATCAGAGCAGACAAGCAAGTGATCTTAAACAGAGCAGACAAACGAATCACCAAAGCAGACAAGCAAGTGATCTTAAACAGAGCAGACAAGCGAATCATCAGAGCAGACAAGCAAGTGATCTTAAACAGAGCAGACAAACGAATCATCAAAGCAGACGAGCAAGTGATCTTAAACAAAGCAGACAAACGAATCATCAGAGCAGACAAGCAAGTGATCTTAAACAGAGCAGACAAACGAATCATCAGAGCAGACAAGCAAGTGATCTTAAACAGAGCAGACAAACGAATCATCAGAGCAGACAAGCAAGTGATCTTAAACAAAGCAGACAAACGAATCATCAGAGCAGACAAGCAAGTGATCTTAAACAGAGCAGACAAACTAATCATCAGAGCAGACAAGCAAGTGATCTTAAACAGAGCAGACAAACGAATCATCAGAGCAGACAAGCAAGTGATCTTAAACAGAGCAGACAGTCAGGCGATTTTAAACAGTAGACAGTCAGGGGATGCTAAACAAGAAGAAAATCAAATCATCTTAAACAGATGCATTCAATGGTTTTCTTGAAACGTATATTAATTTTTTTTATTTCTAGTTTTCACGTTTTTATATACAAGTGCAGAAATTCTGCTGTTGTGAGTAAGTGGAGAATAACGTTCAAGAAATATTAAATAGACTTGATCCATGTACGAGACCAAAGAGCGCCTAATGGTGACAATGAAATACTTTTGTATATTTAGTTTGCCCAATCAATGCTTCGGCATCTGGGTGCTCCCGGTCACAAACAAAGGGCAACGAGTAACGCGACCTTGTCCTTCTTATGAGATAAAGGCTAGTGATTACAGATTGGATCCGTTCTTCTTTAGCACTAATACCCGAGTGCGCATTGAATTCCGGCAGTGAATTCCGTTATTCTCCCGCTTCCGCTTCCGCGCAGGAATACAGGACATGCTGCTGTGTATATTGTAATGCAGGTAGAGTGAGTGACTTTAGTTTTACGCCGCTTTAGCAATATCCCAGCAATAGCGTGACGAGCAAACGCTTTTACAACTACTACCCCTATTGCCGATGGACGGGAGGCTCTGTGTGTGTGTGTGTGTGTGTGTGTGTGTGTGTGAGTGTGTGAGTGAGTGTGTGAGTGAGTGAGTGAGTGAGTGAGTGAGTGAGTGAGTGTGAGTGAGTGAGTGAGTGTGTGAGTGAGTGAGTGTGAGTGTGTGAGTGAGTGAGTGTGTGTGTGTGTGTGTGTGAGTGTGTGTGTGTGTGTGCGTGTGTGTGTGTGTGTGTAGTATGACGCCGCTTTAGCAATATCCCAGCCATAACGTGACGAGCGAACGCTTTTACAACTACCAAACTACCCCTACTGCCGATGGAAGGGAGGTTGTGTGTGTGTGTGTAGGTGTCTATGTAGGTGTCTGTGTAGGTGTCTGTGTAGGTGTCTGTATCTGAGAACTGACGACTGTCTGTTTTTTTCCCAACAAAGTATCTACTGACATATAATTTTCTGACTACCACAAAACAATCCATTCATTTTCACTACTTACACAGACCTTTGACATTTGAGTATTATCCACAAATTCGGTTACACCTTGTTTCCACCACAGCCTAGAAACTCTTTGCTGGGGACTAATCTGAACAACGGCCCCACTGCCATCCCCGAAAGAATTTAAGTAGATGCTAAACAAATGGTATATGTCAGCTACAAAAGTTTCGTTGTTAGACGCAAGACGTTTCAGATTCAGTAAATGAAAAACTGTCATCGGAGACCTTAGACTTGAATGCGCAGGTTAATGATTGGAGTGATATAGGTCTTAATTAACCCACGTCGTTGTCGTTAAGGTCGCAGTTGGTGGTAACGGTCTCAATACACGTACTCAGTGGAGGTTGCCGGACTCATTAAGTGGTTGATTAATTATTGAATGGGTTGGACTGTCGCCCAGCCTTGTAACTGAGGATGGTCCTTGGACGTGGTGACCAGATTGACCTAATTAATGTTGATCCTCATTCGGGTTGGTCCTTTCACATAAAGTCCAAAGGGATGAGGCCATAAACCGACGGACAAGGGAAAGTGGTCATATAAACCGACGGGCAAGGGAAAGTATTAATATATACCGACGGTCAAGGGAAAGTGGCCATATAAACCGACGGGCAAGGCAAAGTATTCATATAAACCGACGGTCAAGGGAAAGTATTAATATATACCGACGATCAAGGGAAAGTGGTCATATAAACCGACGGGCAAGGCAAAGTATTCATATAACTGACTGACTGAGTTTGGTTTTACGCCGCTTTTAGCAATATTCCAGCAACATGACGGCGGGGAACACCAGAAATGGGCTTCACACATTGTACCCATGTGGGGATTCGAACCCGGGTCTTCGGCGTGACGAGCCAACGCTTTAACCACTAGGCTACCCCACCGCTCCAGTATTCATATAAACCGACCGCCAAGGGAAAGTATTAATATATACCGACGGTCAAGGGAAAGTGGTCATATAAACCGACGGTGAAGGGAAAGTATTAATATAAACCGACGGGCAAGGGAAAGTGGTAATAAACCGACGGTCAAGGGAAAGTGGTCATATAAACCGACGGTCAAGGGAAAGTATTAATATAAACCGACGGGCAAGGGAAAGTGGTAATAAACCGACGGTCAAGGGAAAGTGGTCATATAAACCGACGGGCAAGGGAAAGTATTAATATAAACCGACGGGCAAGGGAAAGTGGCCATTTAAACCGACGGGCAAGGGACAGTGGCCATATAAGCCGACGGGCAAGGGAAAGTATTCATATAAACCGACGGGCAAGGGAAAGTATTCATATAAGCCGACGGGCAAGGGAAAGCATTCATACAAACCGACGGTCAAGGGAAAGTGGTCATATACGCCGACGGGCAAGGGAAAATATTCATATAAGACGGGCAAGGGAAAGTGGCCTTATAAACCGACGGTGAAGGGAAAGTGGTCATATAAACGTGTGCATGTGCGTGTGCGCACGCGTACTTTCTGCATATAAAAGTAGGAATGTTCGTAATGATCCCCATTATGCTAGTCTGGTGTGACATTTACATATCGATTTAATTCTCTGAGCGTTAAATTCGCTGCCATTTAGCCTGAGGCAGCAACACTTAATTTGACAGAATCTGGAACCGAAGTTTTATGTCAATGTATTCATTTGTATTGTCAAGGCCATCAATGACAGTGTTAAATTCTCTTAATGAACAAGCGTTAAATACGGCAAATATTTACATTCACCAAGTCGCTTCTTTGCGTGAGAAATAGCATATGTGGGATTGATTCGATTTTGTGCAGTTGTGCAACGTTGCGTTCATCTTAATGTTTGCTGTTTCGATTTAGCGAAATGATAATGTTACTTGTCAAGGTGTACATTGAAATAATGTATGTCACATTGAAATAATGTATGTCACATTGAAATAATGTGTGTCACATTGAAATAATGTATGTCACATTGAAATAATGTGTGTCACATTGAAATAATGTGTGTCACATTACATTGAAATAATGTATGTCACATTGAAATAATGTTTGTCACATTGAGTGTCACATTGAAATAATGTATGTCACATTGAAATAATGTGTGTCACATTGAGTGTCACATTGAAATAATGTGTGTCACATTACATTGAAATAATGTATGTCACATTGAAATAATGTATGTCACATTGAAATAATGTGTGTCACATTGAAATAATGTATGTCACATTGAAATAATGTATGTCACATTGAAATAATGTTTGTCAGATAACACATTTTAGAATCCTCTATTAAAATTTGAAAAACAGCGGGGTAGCCTTGTGGGTCATGTGTTCCCACATCACACCGAAAGTCTGGGTTCGATTCTACACCTCAACGAGAAAAACTTCTATATTTCGATGTTTGCAAAATATACTTGAAATAACGAAATTATACTCAAAAGTATGTAATCAAGAAAATATACATAAATAACTGAAATAATGAGAAATTTCGGCTTAAAAGTTAGTTTGCTAAAGTGGTAATTTCAGACTTTCGTACTCTTGAAGGACCATACAAAGTCGTTTTGAAAACGCTTATTTGAGATTTTGTGATAATTGACAAAAAAAATTCTTTCGGGGTTCGTAATCTTGAGGGGGCGGTGGGGTAGCCTAGTGGTTAAAGCGTTCGTTCGTCACTCCGAAGACCCGGGTTCGATTCCCCACATGGGTGCAATATGTGAAGCATATTTCTGGTGTCCCCCTCCGTGATATTGCTGGAACATTCCTAAAAGCGGCGTAAAACTAAACTCACTCACTCACTCGTAATGTTGAGATAATCAACGACAACAATGTCGTTGTACTTGAATACCATTTAATGTATGATGCATTTGAGCTCGAAAACACGTCTTTTTCCGATTTTGGATTCAACTTTGGTAAACTTTTCAGTGAACTTCATTATATTCATCATCTCAATCAGACCAAAGGGAACCTGCTTCGTGAGACGTAAACTGAATACAGTTTGGTATGTGCATTCATTCCTGTATGATTCACCATTCACTATAAATGTGTCCTTGATGTCCTTCAGTCCGACCGAGAGAAGATGGAGGGACTTCCGGTCGCGCCTTTCATGGACCGGGACAAGGTCACCAAGCCAACTGCCCAGATTGGCTTCATTAAGTTCGTCCTGATTCCAATGTTTGAAACGGTTTCCAAGGTAATGGTTTGTTAAAGAATCAAGTGCGTGTGCGTGTGTGTGTCCGTGCTTGCATGCGTGTGGCCTGACCAGGACGGGTAAATTCCAGTTTCCCAGTAGTCGGAGATACCATGACACAGGTATGACATGGATATCACAAAGACACGGTTTTCTCACTGTGAATCTCAGTGTTATCCCCTCAGGATTAGTGGTGTTCCGATTAATTGAAATAATCGAAGATTGATCTCAGTGACCAAACAACTAAGCAATCGATCACATTTTCTCATAATCGAACATAAACGATTTTGGAACTACTGTTTTAGTCTTTGAAATACTTGACAATGGAACATATCTTAGAAGTTGTCAGGGCCTGAAAACGTGTTTAATTCTTAGAAAACTCACTTCACTAACTGAAAAGTCATGACTGAATATTTCTCTAAGACTCAAGGAAGTTTATGTTCATGATATAATAGTCATCACTTTAAAGTAGTAAGTTGCATCATGTTATAAATATCTGGAATAACAACCTGGATAGGAAAATCTGAAAAATGACGGTAACCAATTTTTTTCGATGATTGTTCGTTGGTAATGAAACAATCATCAATTGTGAGATTTCAACCGGTTCCCAACACTACTCAGGATGACAACAAGTACCATCTATGACTGTCGTGCGTGCGTGTGTTTGTGCGTGTGTGTGTAGCTGCTTGTGGTCTGACTAGGTTTTCCGAGCCCAGCAGCTTTTTTATTATCTCCTCACCTCAGGATCACAACGATTTCCACCATTACGCGTCCAGTTGATATGACGTAACCAGGGATTGAACTACCGACCCTTTGCAAACGCTCTATCCACTCCACCACCACGTATGGCATGGTGACTATCACTGGATTGTCTGGTCCAGACTCGATAGTTTACAAACAAAATTCTACAGCTGCACTGCTAAAACAAATACATACTTATGACATAGTCAGAATCAGATGTGGAAAGGGTTTTGTCGTTTCCAAAGCTATCAAAACAGGTTACGTCAGAGCCCTGCTTAATTTGGGACATGTTTACTAAATCAACTTGACACGCACAGATTTTCCTGAATATAGTCCTAAAACGGCGTTAAAAAACATCTTTTATATTTTAATTGATGACGCCTGTCACACACGTTGATACCTGGCCACTATAGATTCCAAACGTGCTGGGGCGGTGGGGTAGCCTAGTGGTTAAAGCGTTCGCTCGTCACGCCGAAGACCCGGCTTCGATTCCCCACATGGGTACAATGTGTGAAGTCCATTTCTGGTGTCCCCCGCCGTGATATTGTTGTAGCATTGCTTAAAGCGGAGTAAAACCAAACTCACTCACCAAAATGTGCGTCAAGGTGACCGTCATGACAGACCTCGTTTTACATTGTTGTTTCTCATGTTGCAGTTGTTCAACGCTATCAATGACGTCATGGTGATGCCCCTAAAAAATGCTAAGGATAGATACGAGGCTATGAAGTCTGCTGAGGATGCTCAGAAGGAGGTTGGTGTTTCTTTTAACAACACTTATCCAAACAAGCATATCTAATTTTATATATATATATATATATATATATATATATACTGAGGTAATCAAATAAGGGAACATCACTTCATGGCAGTGTTACTATAATTATTCTCAGATTTCCTCCAACAGCGCTATTCAAAGCTGGTGATGAAAAATGGAAAATATAAAAGGAACGCTTGAATTTTGCTGTGTTCCTTTATTTGTTTCTCTCAGTATATTATCCGTGCCACTCCACGTCAGCTTCAGCATCAACACCCCAGTCCATACCCACATCTACATCCAAAGGCACATCCACAGCAACGTGCACACCCACACCCCACACCAACATCGACATCAACATCCACATCTGCACCCACACGTATAGTATTCCCAGAAATTATTGAGAAAGCTGTTTCGGCAAACATCTAATACATGTATATAAACTATAGAAGTTTTACTTTAATGAATATGTTGAGATATGATTCTCTTACAGTCTAAGTGTCTTTTCAGTGCTTTGTGAGACCTCCTTGCCCTGCAATACACGACTGAATACACCTAGGTACACTAGCGACCAAAGTTTGTAGGAAATCATGTGATGGTGTATCCCAATATTCGACCACTTTTTTCTTCATATCCTCAATATTTCTAAGTTCTATTTGGGTTTATTCTGTCCTTCATTAGGCCCCACACATTCTCAATAGGGTAAAGATCTGGCTGTAGCTGGGCCAGTCTATAACTTTGACATTTTCGTCCGACAACCACTGGTTTGTGTAGCCCGCAGTGTGGTTTCGGTCGTTATCATGCTGGAAAATCCAATTATCTTCATAGAGTGTTCGGGCCGTTTGGAGGAGGTGATCATTTAAGATGTCAACATATCGTTCCATATATTTCCAGAGAAAATTCACAACGGCGTCACTCCACGTGATGATATCCCACTCCACAGGTGACATTTCTTGCCATCTTTTGGGCGATGGTATATTGGTTTCTTTTGTCCGAATCCACACTGTTCGGAAAAAGCAAGACCGAACTTTCATCAGAAAAGAAAACATTATCCAAATCATTATCCAAGTGAGTCCGATTATTTGCCTCTTTTTTGAATCTTTCATCAAGTACACCATAATTTCTTGATGTAAGGTTCATTCCTAAGTCTTACATTATGCCTTCCTTCATCAGTAATTAGGGAATGTAAAAGATTTTTCCAAAATTTCTGGGAAAACATCAATATTCAGGGAAACATCAAACCCATTCCAACACCCACACCAACATCCACATCAACATTCACACCACTAACATCCAAACACCCACATCCACATCCACATCCCACACCAACATCCTACACACAACATCCACATCCACACCAACATCCACACCAACATCCACATCCACACCAACATCCACATCCACACCAACAACATCCACATCCACACCCACATCCACACCAACATCCACATCCACACCAACATCCACATCCACACCAACATCCACATCCACACCAACATCCACATCCACAACAACATCCACATCCACACCAACATCCACATCCACATCCACATCCACAACAACATCCACATCCACAACAACATCCACATATTCCACACCAACATCCACATATACAACAATATCCATATCTACAATAAATATCCATATCAATTCAATATCCATATCCATACTAATATCCACATCCACAATTCCAATATTCATATCCACATACCAATATCCTATATTCAATATCTACATTCATATCCATACTAAATATTCCACATCCATAATTCCAATATCCACATCCATACCAATATCCATATCCATTACCAATATCCATATCCATATCTATATCCACATCCATACCAATATCTACATCTACAAATAAATATCCATTCCATCATCCAATATCTTACATCTATATCCATACCAATATTCATATACATTACATAAATACTCCATATTTCAATATCCATATCATACCAATATCTCCATACATCCATATTACAATCTAAATCCATATACAATTCCACACCAATATCCATATCTCACACCAATATCCATATCTATACAATATTCATATCCATATCAATATCCTATATCTATACTAAATATCCATATTCATATTCCATATCCATATATTCATCATTCCACATCTCCAATATCCATAATTTCACACTATCCATTCATATTTCAATATCTCTATTCAATATCCATACTTCACACTAAATATCACATATCTCATACCATTATCCATATCCATACACCAATATCCATATTCACAATTACCAATATCCATATTCCATAATACACCAACATCCACACCAAATATACTAACATATCCAATAAATATAAATATTCATATTCCATACATACCAATATCCATATCTACATACTAAATATCCATATTCATACATTAAATATTCACATCCATACCAACCAATATCCATACTCATCATACTAGCCATATCCAACATCACATATCATATATCTACATAAATATCCATATCACCAATATCCATACACCAATACCAATATTCCATATCCATAACATATCACATCCATATCATTCAATATCCATATCCATATTCCATACCAATATCCATATCCATACCAATATCCATTCCATACTAAATATCCATACTTAAAACCAATATCCACAATTCCCATACTAATATCCATATATCTACACTCTAATATCCATATTCATACCAATATCCATATCTATACAATATCCATACATACTAGCAATATCCCATCCATACCAATATCCATATCCATACCAATATCTATATATCTACATTAAATATCCATACATCCATATCTATATCCATATATCAATATCCATAATTTTCCAATATCCATATCCATACTCAACATTCATACATATACTAATATCCATACTAATATCCATATCCATACCAATATCATATCCACACTCAATATCCACATCCACACCAATAGTACATTCCATATCCAATACCAATATCCACATCTACATCAATATCTACATATCACATCCACACCAACATCCACATCACCACACCAATATCCATATCCATACCAATATCATACTCATCCATACCATACCATCCATCCATCCAACATCCACACCCATACTAACATCCATATCCATACCAATATCCATATCCACACCAACATCCACATCCACACCAACATCCATATCCATACCAACATCCACATCTCCACACCTAACATCCAATATCCACATCCATACCAACATCCACATCCACATCCAACAACATCCACATCCACACCAATATACATATCCACACCTAAATATCCATACACCAATACTTACAACATCCACACTACCCACATCCACATCCACATCCCATCCACATCCAACATTCCACACACCACATCCACATCCATCCATCCACAATCCATACACCAATATCCACATCCACACCCAACATCCATATCCACACCAACATCCACATCCACACCAACATCCACATCCACATCCACACCAACATCCACACCCACACCAACATCCACACCCACTCCACATCCACACCAACATCCACATCCACACCAACATCCACATCCACACCAACATCCACATCCACACCAACATCCACACTCCACACCAACATCCACACCCACACCAACATCCACACCCACATCCACACATCCACACCAACATCCACACCAACATCAACATCCACACCAACATCCACATCCACACCAACATCCACATCCACACCAACATCCACACTCCACACCAACATCCACATCCACACCAACATCCACACTCCACACCAACATCCACACTTCTTTCAACCAACATCCACACCAATATCCACATCAACATACACATCCACACCCACATCCACACCCACACCAACATCCACACCTACACCCACACCCACATCCACACCCACATCCACATCCACACCAACATCACACACACCCACACCAACATCCACACCCACATCCACACCACATCCACACCACACCCACACCCACATCCACACCAACACCCACACCCACACACCCACACCAACATCCACACACCAAACATCCACACCCACATCCACATCCATCCCCACCAACATCCACACCAACACCCACATCCAGACATCCACACCCACACCCACACACCCACACCCACATCCACACCACATCCACACGCACACCCACACCCACACCCACACACACACACCCAGATACACACACACACACACACCCACACCCACACCCACACCCACCACCCACACCCACACCAACACACACCCCCACACCCACACCCACACCCACTGTCCACACCCACACCCACACCCAGATAGACAAACACCCACCCACACACCCACACCCACACCCCACACCCACACCCACACACCCACACCCACACCCCACACCCACACCCACACCCACACCCACACCCCACCACACCCACACCCACACCCACACCCACACCCACACCCACACACCCACACCCACACCCACACCCAACCCAACACGTACATACATAATTATATACATGCATGTACACATACATACACATACTCACCATCACATTCTAACACTTCTCAATAGTTAGCTGGAATATTGCTGAAATATTATAATACAACCAAGGATCCGCCGGTCTGGAGTTTGTCAAAAAAACCGCTCAGTGATGGTCAGCAGTCCAAGACGTAAACGTCACCGGAGTCCTAACCAACTGAAGCTTCCGGCGTGACTCAAATATTGTTCCAAGCGAAGTTAAATCTCTCGAACCAAATGTGCGTAAAACTGGCACCTTTAAAATAATGTTAGTTTGTTACAGAAGAGTTAGCAAGACCCCCACGCGCTTCGACATTAGTAGCGGCGTCGTCCCTCGTCAGACGAGCTCACCTTAACGTGCCTCTACGTCGTGTCACGTGACTTCCTGTCACCTTGCTCTACCGTCAAGGACTTATCAACGGAGGAAGGAGGATGTATATGGACGAGACTTACAATCAGCAAGGAGGTATTTGCGAACTGGTCTGCAGGGATGGTTGTTATACGATAAGTCAATGTTTAAAGCAACAAAGGCAAACCACGTACGGTGGAACACCGTCAAGGATTTTACTTGAAACAAGAGTAACTACGAACTAACCTTACTTCGAAACAACCAGAGATTATAATGTAACCAAAGGTGGTGGGGTAGCCTAGTCGTTAAAGCGTTCGCTCGTCACTCCGAAGACCCAGGTTCGATTCCCAATATGGGTAAAATATGTGAAGCCCATTTCTGGTGTCACCAGTCGTGGTATTGCTGGCATATTGCTAAAATGGCGGTGTAAAACCAAACTCACTCACTCACTGATAATGTAACCAAACGCCGTTAACGAATATCATAGTTCACTAATAAAACTTCTCCAGATTCAAATTTTAGTTTATTTGAATATTTTCGGAACAATTTGTTTTCTCTTTATCTGAATCTATTCAGCACATTTGTTTCACTTACAATGATTCCGACACATTTTACAAACCTAATCTTACAAAGCTCAAATATAGAAAACCGCGAAAAAATGATCGAGCGTCTTTAATACAATTGACTCTGATTATTTCGAGGTATGATGTTTCGTAACAAGAGTGAAATGTGAGAGAGAAAGAATAGATCGATTGCTATAAACAACCTGTTATCTGAGCCCGACCTAACGCTGATACCAGTTCGCAAGTACCAGACAGCACCACGTGCATGTGACGACGTTGTGTACAGGTCAACTGACGTAACACGTATCATCATAGCTAGTTCTGTCACCAGGGGAAACAAAAACTACCCAGAATATATATCTGTGTGTCAACATGTACAGTAATCTACGGTTATAACGAAATCAAAGGTCCGCTAATTTCAATTCGTTTTAACAGTAGTACGCATTTCGACTAAAACAAGTGAACAATGGCCTGATGGGATATAACAGATATATAGCACACTGGTCACAGCACACTCAAAGGTCCACTAATTATATTTCGTTATATCTGTAACTTCGTTATAAGCATATTCGTGTTAAACGTAGCTTACTGTATATTCTTAGATACATGAGGATCGGGTATCAAGATACACCGACACTACAAGGGTTCCTCTTTTACATTAATCACAATTTGGCTGATAAAAGGTATTCTTTCAAAAACCAATTTCAAGCTGTATCTGTATGTAGAAAGCATTGACTACTCACATTAGGTTAACGTTAGGTGTGTTAGTAGTATTGACCTTTGGTTGGCTCATAGAGTGAGCAGTTAGAGCATATAGCGGTCGTTTGCTACTATTCTTAGCTGACGTCCTTGGCTCGCGTCCAATTCGCGAAGGAAAAGCAAAATGGCTGTTGTGAAATCGCGACTGCGTAGCGTCATGGCAGCAAGCCTAACGCAATGACATCACGACCGGTTTGTGATCGGGTGTTTCTATTTTGTTGCTGTTGTTTTTATCTATAGAGTGGTATTTTTCAAGTTTAATTATGTGGAATATCAAAATCAATGGTTATTTACCAGTTTTAAACACAGTTATTTCTTTGAAATCAATTTTATCGTTCCATCTTGTCCGGCGGTAATATCAGCCTATCTTTACACCCTCCGTGAATATATGTCTCCTTCATGTGGTTACACAGACGATAGTAGAAGTGTGGGTAGTTTTTGTTTTCCGCGGATTAGATTCACATCTGGTTCTTCAGAGGGGGCGGTGGGGTAGCCCAGTGGTTAAAGCGTTCACCCGTCACGCCGAAGGCCCATGTTCGATTCCCATGGGTACAATGTGTGAAGCCCATTTCTGGTGCAATCTGCCGGGACATTGCTGCAATATTTCTAAGAGCGGCGTAAAACCCTATTCGCTCAATCATTCTTCTGAGTTATACTAGTCTGAAACAGTGACCATCGTACCTGAGCCTCATCGACTCGGTGAGTGAGTGAGTGAGTATGATTTTACGCTGCTTTTAGCAATATTCCAGTAATATCACGGCGGGGGACCGTGATGGGCTTCACATATTGTACCCAGGTGGGGAATCGAACCCGGGTCTTCAGCGTGACGAGCGAACGCTTAACCAGTAGGCTAGTCAACCGCCCCCTCATCGACTCAGCCTAAAGCAGTTAGATAGTAATCTATCACTCGTTCTCAAGACGCTATTGGACATTTCAGAAACGGTCAAAACTTGTGAGCAATGTTTCAGTTAGAAAATGACGGAGCATGTTACTTGATATGATTATCAATTCAATGATAATTTATGAATTATGTATAAATATTACATGGATAATTCACCAGACGCCTGATCTGAAGAAAAATATTTTATACTGCTCATGATGTCATGTAATCAATATTTAGGTTGAATAGTAAAGCTATCATTAAAGGGGTACTCGGTTCCGACAATTTGACAGTCCTAGCCGATTTGATTAAAGTCGATCAAACTGTTTTTTAACTGGGACATTAGGATATAAACTGCCTGGCTAAAGAAATTATACACTTGGGAATCGAATTTGACTAAAACATTGCAAACATCATCGATACTTTACTAGACACATAAACAATGCAAACGTAAGACGGCAATAGCGCACTCACCAAACACGTCGCCATCAAACAACCATTTCCTGTTTATATCACCATCAAAGGTGGGCGCGTACGTTCTATTCCGGTGGTTCGGTACCCGTGAAGGTCCGGGTTAGAATATTGATCTTCAGTATGTAGCAATATTCCAGCTATATGGCTGCGGTAAATAATCGAGTTTGGACCAGACAATCCACTGATCCACAGCATGAGCAACTTTCTGCGCAATAGGGATACGGTGACATGTGTCAACCAAGTCAGCGAGTCTGACCACCCGATCCCGTCAGTCGCCTCTTACGACAAGCATGGGTTACTGAAGACCAGTTGTAACTCGGATCTTCACGGACCCTCCCACTTCAAGCTGACATGGCACGATATAGTTGAAATGGGCGGAAAGGGACAGATTAGGCATGGTCATGATTATATTCGCCTTGTACTTTTCATTTTTAATATAATTCATTTCTTCAAATGTGAAGGTTTTTTTTTGCTCAGTATGTATATCCGAAGGGTTGTTTATCGCAGCCTTAAACCCAACTCACTCACTCACTCTCTTTTCCCCGGCAATTTATTAACCAATCAGTAAGGCTAAGTCTAAATTTCACATAGCTACTTATTACAAGATCTTGACCTGGACACCAAACAATGGAGCGGAGACCCCCTTTAATTGAATGAACGCGAGTATGATTTGGAAGTTGTGTTTTGTTGAAGGGAGACACTGCATCTGTTCCGTCATCATTCCATTTGCGTTGTATTCCTGTGTCTCATTTATCCTTCAGGACTAGTTCAATCATCCCCAGAGGCGATGGGGTAGCCTTGTGGTTAAAGCGTTCGCTCGTCACGCCGAAGACCTGGGTTCGATTCCCCACATGGGCACAATGTGTGAAGCCCATCTCTGGTGTTCCCCGCCGTGATATTACTGGAATATTGCTAAAAGCGGCGTAAAATCATACTCACTCACTCACTCCACCATCCCCGGATGATAAGTTGACATAGCAAGTCCTACTTTAACACAGGCCAGTGTATGAGAAAACAGCCCTATTAGCATTTTGTTGTGTGGTCAAGGTCGGAACTTCAGCTTGACATATCTCGAGGTTTTCACCTATATTTCATCTATTTTTATGCCGTAGAGTATTTTCATATGACGGAGGAAACCGGTATATACCACGTATGTGAACTGCCGTGATTTTACATTCTTGACATTCCGATCAGTCTTATAGACAATCACCTTAAGCTTGGATTAAGACAAATTATGTCCCTGTTGTTTAACAACGGCATCTGGTCGTTAAATCACTGCCTTTTGTATCTTTGTTTACGAGCAAACTATAACCTATGGTCAAGAGCTACGTTCGGGTGACTTCGTAGAGGCGTAAACTGCTCGTGACTTTTCGTATAATTCCGGCTATGCAGGCTTCGGCAAGTAGCCATGATGTAATTTCCCTAGAGGAATGTTTCTATCTTTTTTCAATGAAACGAGAACCTGTTGCTGAACAGAATTGTTGTATTCATATTTTTTTTATCAGGGAGTATATTAAGGTGCAGTCAAAAAAGCTTGAGATGAGGATGTTTCCATAACTTGCATATCGTAAAAATATCGTAACTTATATCATCATCGTTGTCTGATACAAAAACAAAGTACGGCTTTGTGTAGATGTGTTGGGGAAGACCAACTTAGGGTTATTGTAGATATATGTTTGGTATGAAATCTTTTCCCGGTCAAGATACATTCACCTGTTATACTGTGTGGTCGGTTATTAAAAATATCCTGATTAATCAGAGTCCGGTTTTGACAGATTTCATGCATAGCTGAACCTCCTTAATTCGGATTTAAGATTTCTCTTCGTAGAGATAGGCGAACTCATTATAAGAAGTATAAAACAGCAGTGAATATTTCATGAAGAGTTTCTGGTGTCCGCTTTAAGGAGGTCATATTATCCCAAAACTAGTGATCTGATTAATATGGTTCCGAATGTTATAATTTATGAATGCACTTTGTAAAATAATACTTCCATCTCGGAAAATCGATTTCACAAGATGATCATAATTATCCGGATTTCCTATGAAATTTTATGAATGCCCTTTGTAATATAACACTTCCACATCATCACATATGTTAAGGGATTTTTGAAGATGGTAGGACTATTTCAGTACTGTACTGTATACACCCAAGCTCCGTAAATTTGTATCAGTCGGATCCGGATCACAGAGATCCGAATTAACTCTCTTCAAAGAATGGAAACCGCCACGATAGAGTTCCGGTTGTGCCATGTCTGATTTTATGTTTTGGTCTGTAGGACCAAATTGTAGGTTTTAGATGCAGCATTGGAATGAAAACATTTCTGAACATGTCTTTGATATGCATAGTTTTATGCAAAAAGGAATATCGAAAAACATCTAAACTCAGAATGAGTGATTGAGTGAGTTTAGTGTTACGCCGCACTCAGCAATATTCCAGCTATATGGCGGCGGTCTGTAAATAATCTAGTCTGGGCCAGACAATCCAGTGATCAACAGCATGAGCATGGATGTACGCAATTGGTCCTTGAATTCAGAACTGCAGATGAATATTCAGACGAACAGAAACCTTTTTACCGTGTTTTTGTTCAGATACAGGGTAATTAGTTGTTTAGAGGACGGTGGGGTAGTCTAGTGATGAAGTGTCCGCTCGTCACGCTGAAGACCCGTTTTCGATTCCAAACGTGGGTACAATGTGTGAAGCCCAGGCCTGGTGTCCCCGCCGAGATATTGCTGGAATATTGCTAAAAGATGTGTAAACTAAACTAAACTCACTCACTCATTCCTGTTTGGAAATACTCACTTGTCTTTGAAACTAGCAACTGATCTTAGTGATAGGGCGTCCCCAAAAATTAGATTTCTTTGTGAGAAAGGTCCACGACCACTGCTGGACAACTGGGCAACCGCGGGGGCAAAGAAAGTATACACTTGAAGACTGGATTTAAACACAACATTGCCAATGTTACTCAGCTTCAACAGCGAACACTGCCAAACTAAAGATAAAATCCAAGCGATAATTTTGGTTCACATATCAAAACATCATCCAAAAACAATATATTATTTGTGTATGGGTGTGTACTTTCTTTCCCTGGATGGGTTGTCCAGTTGTCGAAGGCGCCGCAATTAGCTGTGCAGAGTTGCGTTCCTTGGCGAGGTGGTGGCAAAGTCGTCAAATGCGCCGCAATTCTCTATGCAGAGTTGCGTACCTTGGCGAGGTGCTTGCAAAGTCGTCAAAGGCGCCGCAATTCGCTATGCAGAGTTGCGTCCCTTTACGACATGGTCTGCCCGGACGTAGGAAGAAAGCTGTTCAAAGAAGCCTTAAGTTTTACTCAGTTCAACATTTACGGATTTCGTTTGAGGATCAGATTTCCCTATCATGTTTTATTCCATCATAAGTTGCACTGTTTGCCATGTAGATCACCTACTTAATCGTGGCGAAACGTTGTGGTTTGTAAGCTCATCATCAAATTGTATCTGTGATCCCGTGGTTTCTGTGATTCACTAATTTGCACAGCCCGACACAGCCGCACTGTTAAACAAAATCTAGTGTTATTATATATGTATTCAGACAAGTCCTAAAACCACGGCACGCGTGTAAGGGAGATAACTCAGGGGAAGGGAGATAACTGAAGGATTTTGTTGGTTAAAAGTCATAGGCCTTGCATTGAGCCTAGTTTTGTAATTTGACGCTTTCTTGAGCGTGAAATCTCTACGCATTTTAACTGACGTTCTTTTTAGAACTCACTGTACAGGTGAATATTGTGCACATATTGTACATACACAATAAAATGTTGTTTCTGTCGTACTGATTTGTCTTATTTTGTACGGGGGGCGGTGGGGTAGCCCAGTGGTTAAACCGTTCGGTCGCCACGCCGAAAAATCGGGTTCGAGTCCCAACATGGGTACAATGTATGAAACCCATTTCTTGTGCCTCCCGCCGTGATAGAGCTGGAATATTGCGGCGTAAAACTACACTCACTCACTTAATTTGTACGGTTCGGCACAGTGGACGTTTGCCCTTACACTGAAGGAGCGGTTTGGTAGTTTTGTGGTTAAAGCGTTTGCTCATCACGCCAAAGACCCGGGTTCAATACCCCACATGGAAGTAAAGCCCATTTCTGGTGTCTCTCCGTCGTGATATTGCTTGAATATTGCTAAAAGCGGCGTAAAACCATACTCATTCTCCCTCCGTGACACTGGTCAACCAGGGTCGAGTCTCCCAACAACAGATGGATAGTTTACCGCATGCTTGTCACCTGATAGTGTCCAGTGCTTGATTCTTAAGCCTACATGGGCACAATGTGTGAAGCCCATTTCTGGTGTCCCCGTCGTGATATTGCTGAAATATTGCTGAAATAGCGGCGTAAAACTAAACTCTTTAGCACATGTAGCACATGCGGTGTCTTACAGAGCAAGTGTCGTACAAGTGGCATTGGGGTAGCCTTGTGGTCAAAGCGTCCGCTCGTCACGCTGAAGACCCGGGTTCGATTCCCTATATGGGTACAATGTGTAAAGTCCATGTCTCGTTTCCCCGTCGTGATATTGCAAGAATATTGCTAAAAGCGGCGTAAAACTAAACTGCCATGCTTCTCTATCAACACATCACCTTGCTGTTGTTCCAATGACCAAAAAGGACTTTCAATGGTTTAAAGTCATTATAACATCGTACAAATAACATCATAAGCGCAGTGGTTTATAAACCAGCGTTAATTATAAATAACAGCAATTAATGATACTGAGAAGAATGCGTCATACTCACAACCCTTTCAAGCATTACAAATTAGCGACAATTGTTCCTCAAAAGAAGCCAGTTTCTAACAAATCTCAGGCTCAATTAAAGAATCAAAAACAACTATTGGAACTGGTCCGTCTTTCTCTGTAGAACTAATTGTTTTCAACTACCTGTACTTTGCCAAAATGCGGTAGTTCATCAGATACGGTATTGACAAAGTTGTAAGTGTATAATGAGTTTATCACGTGATCGTACTGCAAGAACGCTGCGCCACTACTAAACTCTCCATTAACGGCTTGCCTTCTTAGCGACATACACTCATTAGTTTCCATGGAAACCAGACAACAGTTTTTACAAATGCTAAACACACCCAAAAGCACTTAGATGTATCCAGTAGAGATGAACCAACAAAGCATATTTGTACAAAAGAATATCATTTCAGTATCTGATTGAACTCGGACAAGCAGAATTAGATGTCCATAGATTAGGCAACGCTTAGTTCTTTGGTTCTGTGAGCGTATTTTTGCCAGCAACTTTTACACGCCTGGTGAATCAGCAAGAATTAACTCTTAAACGTGTCATGATTTCATGTCCGTCCAACTTCTAAATGCCTTTCAAGATTTCAAGAAGTTCTACACGGCTAGTTTGTAGTGACGTATATATTTGTAATAAAATCCTTGGCTGTTATGTAGGAAACCTATATTGCTTTGAACGTTAAAACAAAACAGATGTCCACACGCTGTTAGAACGAATTTATAATCTTTAATCTGTATGGAAGATACCTGCTTCAATTACAGAAGAGAAGAAGAAGAAGAAGAAGAAAATTAGTTTATTACCGTGTTACATATTTTTCCAGATATACAAATACATTTCATCGACAAGTTGTAGAAAATATCCGGCCTATTCAGGCCTACGAGACACGATTATACATTAAAATTGCGTTAAAATATATAAAGTGTAAACTCGTAAAATAATTGGCATAATTACCAAGATTATGATACATAAAATACAAAACAATTGCACAGAACAATTGCACCCTACATATGTCTCGTCGAGGGGTTGTCACGGATGGGCAGCTACTACGGGAATGGTCTTTGGCGTGCTCAGTCTGTTGATAACGTCGCCGTAAGTACAATATGGCGCCCCTGTGAACGTTGAATTGACGTCATGCTGCGAGGTACTGGATTCAAGAGCATTCCCATAGATCGTCCTTAATGTTTCAACTCGGGAATGGCAAGAAATCTATGAAAGATGTGTGACATTCTGTTCCTCTGTAAATTGCCCAGAGCGACAATGATGGGGTACTGACCGTATGGCATAAAGGATATTTACGCAATGTATCCATATGATGTGTTTTTTTCTTCTCAAAACACATGCGTGCGACTTTTGTCAAGTTCTCTTTTTCGAGTCTTTCATTACACATTCACATCCAGGTTTTAAATATAAAACGTCTGCATCACAATTACTCTTTGCCTGGTGGTATATTTAAAGGGCTAGTCGCCTAATTCTCCAAACAGTTTCACGCTAGAAGCCCTGCAGAGAACTTTAAATGAATTGTTATTGCATTTTAAGTCATTTGGGGCCTAGTGGTTGAAGCGTTCGCTCGTCGAGCCGAATAGCCGGGTTCGATTCCAAACATGAGTACAGTACGACAAACCCATTTCTGGTGCCCATCGCTTAAAATCCAACTCGCTCAAGTCCGTTGGCAGTTATTCTCATTTTCAAAAGCATTTCCCATATTCCCTTGACATCGTAGTTAACATTTCCACAACAAGCGGCATAAACCCATACTGAGCGAGTGGGTGAGTGAGTGAGTTGGGTTTTACGCCGCCTTTAGCAATATTCTAGCAATATCACGGCGGGCGACACCAGAAAGGGGCCATACTGGTTCTTTCTACAAATAAGGAAACATAGAATTGGTGATAAATCTCGTTTCAGATTATTCTTTTTATATTAAGCTAATAAATACGAAAAAGTAATTCCGCCAAGGTGCTAGTCTAAAATATCAACACTGGGAGTCTTCCGCGTGTTACCTCCCTTTCTTCATTCAACTCTGCTGTATGTTGGAGGAAACCCCGAAGAGCATTCGTCACTACTCGCCACTTTCTGTAACATCCACCAAGTCTCGGAACAACACGAGTTGGTCACGAATGCCCGAAGAGATGCCGACTCAAAATTTGTGGGGGTGGAGGGGTTAAATAATGAAATACCGAATCTATCCTTCGCATATGGATCAACTAACTCCATGGCAGCCGCCATATTGGATTTTAGCCGATGTAACACGTGTTCTGATTGGATAGAAAGAAGGGAGATAATTCGTGTTGCGACTTTTTTGATGCCAGGGGATTTTACGAGAACCGGGAAATATGGCCGTATTAGATCAGAGGTCACTTTGGAAGATATGACTTGAGTAACCTCCGTGGGAAGAGAATGGGGTTGTTGTTGACAAATTTACATTTACATCAGTACTGGCAGATACTAAGAACACTTTTTGTGCCTCTTGAAAAAGATTTTTAAAAAATCTTTTGGCAACGTAAATTAAGTTTTGAAAATATTTTCAATCAGATATTTGAAATATTTCACGAATACGATAAACAGTTACCAAACAAGTTATCTTATCAAGTTCCCATAAGGTCGCCAGAGAATATAGACATGGTAAGTAGTTGTCAAGAAAAGAGTTTATACCATTTGAACGTGACCTGTATAACGGAATCATGAATATGACACATGATCTGGAACTGCTAATACAGGTAGAGGAAAGGCAAAATTATACTTTTCCTTCACTGGCAAAGGAAGATGTAAATGTTACCACCAATATTTTGTCTGGTCCTGATTTGAGAATAGACAGGCTGGCTGCGTCATAAAACAAGATGAGTTCACTCCCACATTTTCAGAGGTCGCTCTATTGTCACACATGACAGAAAACCGGAAAGTATGCCATTTTTAATCTCCTGGATCTGCTCTTGCAGCGTCTAGGAAACCATTAGGAATTGAATATTGTTTTACTCCGCTTGCTGCAGCATTCCAGTTAAACCACGACGTCTCAGCTTGCTGTGGGAGGACATCCCGAAGTAAGGCAGATCTCGTACGGTTACGAAAGTTGTGGTTGCGTGAAACCCTCTAGCTTGAGCGCTGACAAACACAGAAACAGAACCGGGACGCACCGGGATTCGAACTCAGACTCATCCGCAATGCAGAGCCTTAGTGAGTGAGTGAGCTTAGTTTTACGCCTCTTTTAGCAGTATTCCAGCAATATCACGGCGGGGGGACACCAGAAATGGGCTTCACACATTGTACCCATGTGGGGAATCAAACCCGGATCTTCAGCGTGACGAGCGAACGCTTTAACCATGAGGCTACCACACCGCCCCTCAGACAGCAGGGCTACTGTTGATCCGCTCTCATGATAAACCATGATTCCTAGCTGACCTGCCATAAGATCGGGGAAGTGATGACTGCACCCTCAACCTAGATAATATTGACACTGCTACTTTTCGCTGGGGACAGTGGGTTAGACTAGTACGATTCATCACCTGGGTGTAGTTTGTTTGTTTTATTTGTTTGTTCAACGCCGCACACAGCAATATTCCAACTATGTGGCGGCGGTCTGTAAATAATCGAGTCTGGACCAGACAATCCAGTGATCAACAGCATGAGCATTGATCTACGCAATGTATTGCAGAGGTTAAAACATAGTCGGGCCTTTATCTTGAACACGTGCGTTTATTGGTTTATTGTCCGCAGGCTCTTTACAAGACGCCGCAACGTTGGTAGAATTGAACTTGATACGGTTAAAAAAAATGTCTTGGTCCCTTGCACTTCTACAAAAATGAATCACCGCAGTGGTCGACCTCAGTCGCCCGGATCAAAACTACCGTCCGGGGCCACTTACAATCCGGATCCTTACCGCGGTAACAAAAAAAAAAACTCGGATCAGTTTACCGGTAAAAGCCAAATTAATTTTTATCCTTAACACAATGGGGATACGATGACATGTGTCAATCAAGTCAGCGAGCCTGACAACCCGGCCCCGTTAATCGCTTCTTACGACCAGCATAGGTTACTAAAGACCAGTTCTAACCCGGATCTTCACGGGTTAGGTGCAGTTTGTAAAGCCCACTCTTTTGCAGGGATATTTCATCGACACTCACTCACTCACTCTCTACTATTTTAGTGAAGACATAACACAGGATACTACAGACTCGTCTTTAATGTGTTCAACAGCACAGAGCTGCAAGGAACTAAATGATTTGGAATATCACAACACAACGTCTCAGTCAACACACTTGTTTCGAAACGAAAGGATTCAAATACAGGAAAGTGTGTACAGACATGTTTCCTTGGGACTAAACTGAAGCAAACTGAAAAGGGCCATCCGAGCTAAACTGACGTGCAAAAGAAAGTATACATCTGACACTTTGGGGGTCATTTTTCGAAAAAAAACCCGCAAATACTTGAAAACACGCTGCGATATTTGGAAACATCGTGTCCCGTTTAATACAAATGGATATTTACGGGGGTTGTGTTCTGAACGGACACCACAGTTGTTTGAACACTACGTTAAGGTGTTTCGGGAATAACGTTCGATTTTTTTATGGAATAAAATTGACAGATGTATACTATCTTTTGCCAGTTATTTCAGTTAAACACGTGCTTATAATTCTACGAAGAAAATCATTCAGGGGGAGAATTTGAAAAGCTATCTAGTCGACCACGTGGCGTGGTTGACACTGTCAGAGAGGTGTGTTAATTCGCACACGTATTTGCAGACATGACTCACTAGAAAAGCTTGATTAACACAAACAGTAACTACTGTTATCATCCTTTTGGCTCCAGAAACAACTGGAGCATCTGTCAATGTCCATCAAACGAAATCAAGGCGCTTGTAAACAGACAGACGGTGTCCATGCATTTGAAGATAAATTATAATAAATAAGACAATGTAAAATATACATATGTACAATCTGACCCAGCCCACCCTGAACCTGTCAGGGCCTAAACCTTTGGTTTAATTACACATATCACATATATACGTCGTACTAGTACGCACACGCACACGCACACGCACACGCACAGACAGATACAATCTTTGGCACACGTTACAAAGATACATACGTAACGATACATACGTTACGCACAATTTACAAACACCCGCGCGCCAACACACACTAACACACACGTTACGCACACACTTTAAGCACACACATACGTTGAACACGCACATACGTTACGAAGATACATACGGTACGCACAACTTACAAACACGCGCGCGCCAACACACACTAACACACAGTTACGCACACACTTTAAGCACACACATACGATGAACACGCACTTACGTTACGAAGATGAGTACGTTACAACTCGCCGTAAACTTCACGCATATATCAAGAACATGCATCAGTTACAAATACGCATTCTTATGGAACACTTAAATAGCAGGGCCACAGTCAGGGCGTACGGACAGAGACAAAATATAAATTTTGAAAAACAAACGTAATTATTAGTCAACGACTACAAAGAAGTCCCTTTACGCTCTACCACCCACCCAACACCCCTGAGATTCATATAATGGTCTTTGCTCTCATGAAGGGCATCATCTCTGACTGGAAGGTTGCATTGTCTGTTGGAGGGAGGCCGCCGTCGAACCCTGAAACAGTCGCAAAAGGGAGTGAGTGAGTGAGTGAGTGAGTGAGTGAGTGAGTGAGTGAGTGAGTGAGTGAGTGAGTGAGTGAGTGAGTGAGTGAGTGAGTGAGTGAGTGAGTGAGTGAGTGAGTGAGTGAGTGAGTGAGTGTGGGTGGGTGGGTGAGTGGAGTGAGAGTGAGTGAGGGAGCGAGTGAGTGAGCGAGCGAGATTGCATTAATGTCCACCGCCAATCATTCCAACAATGAGTACCTCAACAGGTACTGTTTCACCTGGCGAGAAGGTCGTACCAACGACCCACCGCTCTCCAGGAAGGTGGTCTTTCCATTACACTACGCATACAATCCTAAGTTCTTGTAACATGGCTGTCGTTTTTTGTACACAGGTCTTTCAGTGTTAAACTGGAATTAGATATAGATTTAGATTTCAGGCTAGCTATTCTCGAAACGTTCGTAGCCCTACGGACTTCTTAAGCCCATTCTTAACACATTGCCTACGATCAAAGTTAAGAATTCTTAGGGCTACGAACGTTTCGAGAATAGGGGCCCAGGTCAGGAACATAATTGTTTTACTGCCGGAGGATTTCGTGACCAACCGGGAGACGAGCATTCTTGCATCTTACGGTAAGGCAGTGACGAATGAGCCGTGACGTCCCGTTAGGTCATGTGACAGCCACGTGCACGAAACAACGATTTCCAACATGGATGCCTGAATGTCACGGTCGAGTAACATATGTTATATTTGGGATTACACTTTCTCATTGTTTATTTCGTCACGATCGAGGTTCCGATGGACTGACACGGGAGCCCTGATTGATTGTCTCCGAGCTGTACCCACCTTTGACAGTTAATGTGTTTCTAGGTGGCGCCACGAATCGCCTCCGAGTGAAGTCTTTGCCCGTGAGGTTGGTGATGCCGATCCTCATCCCGCCGGTAGGGGCGCTACATACTTTGGCGCACTGAGATTCGCTGTAAAACACGCCCTCCTCTGCAACATAAAATCAGTTTAAAAACTCACATCGATTGAGAATACGCTCGAATAGATCCTGAGTGTGTACATTGACCATGTACTTTTCACCAAGCGTGATTGTCGTGCGAGACAAATCCAGCGTACTTTACATGATTGCTTGGTGTGTAGTTTAACGCCGAAAAGCAATATTCCAGCTAAATGGCGGCGGTCTGTAAATAATCGAGTCTGAACCAGACAATCCAGGGATCAACAGCATGAGCATCGATCTACGAAAACGATACGATGACATGTGTCAACCAAATCAGCGAGCCTGACCACCCAATCCCGTTAGTCGCCTCTTACGACAAGCATGGGTTACTGAAGACCAATTCTAACCTTCACGGTTGTGAATTACATGAGTGAATATAGTTTTACACCGCTTTCTGCATATTCCAGCAATCATGACGACACAATGAGTGAGTGAGTGAGTGACATTCCAGCAATATCGCGGCGGGGCATGAAATGGTCTTCACAATTTTAATATTACATAAGTAAGTGTAGGCGTGAATGAATATAGCTTAATACGTTAAATGAACAGTTTTCCAGAACGAAGTTATAACTCATGTGACGAAGGTCTTAGATGTTCATCACTAATTCGTCAAGCACACGAGAGCCACTGTCGTACTGATCACTAAAATTTACACATAATCAAGGCAAACTTGAGATTCGAACATACGATAAAGTCACATGTAGATCCAAGGGACGCAACTCTAAACGGTTAACTTCCCTCTTACCGGATGAGGTGTGTGTACTACGGTGGTCAAACCAACGTCCATGGCTGATGCTAAAAAACGTTCAAAGATATTCGTGGCGAACCACGGAGCCGACAGGACCTGGTTTTATCACAGCGAGCGGTGACTGGTCACATCACATACAAACCCCGCCCCTCTTTGATTTGGAGATTGCTAATCAAGCGCTTCAGAGGATTTTATGGCCGCTTCGTTTTCTAGCGGCTCCACGCAACCTGTTGCGCCCCTTACAAGACGTTTTGGCCCTTTCCGGTGAGTTTGCCCTATGGAGGCCATTCTTCGCAATCACTCACTCACTCATGGTGAGATGCTGAATTAGCAAATATTCATTAGAAATGCAAACACAATCATGCACAAATTTATGTTCTGGTGTCCCCCCGCCGTGATATTGCTCGAATATTGCCACAAGCGGCGTAAAACTAAACTCACTTTTAATGAAATAATGACCATGCTTCCGTGATTCCATTATAGCTCACCTTGATAGGGAGTCCTGACCCGCATCCGCCTTGGGAAATAGGTGTGGGGGTTCTCCATGCTGGGCATCTCTAACTGAAACAAGAAGAACTGGTTAAAACTTGACGTCGGACTGTTATACTGACTGACTGATTTTGGTTTTACGCCGCTTTTAGCAATATTCCAGCAATATCACGGCGGGAGACACCAGAAATGGGCTTCACTTATTGTACCCATGTGGGGATTCGAACCCGGGTCTTCGGCGTGACGAGCCAACGCTTTAACCACTAGACTACCCCACCGTCCCCGGACTGTTATAAAGCGATCCTCAACTACTGTTGTTTCTTTCTTCTTTTAACGGAGTGTAGGTGGGATGGCCTAGTGGGTAAAGCGGTTGATTCCGTATGTAGGTACATTATGTGAACCCCATTCCTGGTGTCCCCCCGCCGTGATATTACTGGAATTAATATTTCTAAAAGTGGCATACTCACAGCCCTCAACGCTATATCAGCTAAATATCAGCGACCTGTGCATTACCGAGTCATATCCAACTAAACCAATGATTGATATCGTGAGCAAACCAGTGATTGATATTATGAGCAACGCTGTTCCCTACCTCCCATATTACCATATGAACAAGCGGGGGCGGGGACCTAATCAAACCCGGTATGACGAGTGTAGTGAGTGAGTGAGTGAGTTGAGTTTTACGCCGCACGCAGCAATATTCCAACTATATGACGGCGGTCTGTAATTAATCGAGTCTGGACCAGACAATCCAGGGATCAACAGCATGAGCATTGATCTGAGCAATTGGGATACGATGACGTGTGTCAACCCAGTTAGCGAGCCTGGCCACCCGATCCCGTTAGTCGCCTCTTACGACAAGCATGGGCTACTGAAGATCAATTCTAAACCGAACCTTCACGGGTAGTGTGGTGAGTGTTCTCACTCAGTATTCAACGGTCGGTGAAGAGTGAATGACTTTTTTTAGCAATATTCAAGCAATATCACAGCTGGGGACACCAGAAATAGGGTTCGCAATTTGTACCAATGAGGGGAATCGAACCCGGTCTTCGGCGTGATGTGTAAACGCTTTAACCACTAGGCTACCCCACTGTCCCTTCGAGCAAAAGAAAATATACACCCATGTTTCACGGTGTCTAAAACTGGAGAAATGGTTACGTATTCGATAGCAGTGTTTTATACTTGAAGTTTAGAGATTTCGTAGTGTTCGCTGCTGTTTGCAGCGTCGTAATGTTTACATAACGTTTAAAATTGTTTAATGAAATCAATTTTTTTAAGTGTATATTGTTTTGCCCTACCGGTTTTGTTTGATACAGTTTCAATCAGTGGTTGTTTGGAGAGTTTCGGCGATTTAGATAACGTTCGCATTTGCTGGTGAAAACCAGTTAGCAAGCGAATAGCCTCTTTTGCCTGACAACGTTTAAGCGACATTTACAGAGTGAGTGAGTGGGTGAGTTTAGTTTTACGCCGCTTTTAGCATTATTCCAGCAATATCACGGCTGGGAACACCAGAAATGGGCTCCACACACTGTACCCTTGTGGGGAATCGAACCCGGGTCTTCGGCGTGGATAGCGAATGCTTTAACCACTAGGCCACCCCACCGCCCAGCGGCATTTAGAGGTTGTTATAGATGTATAACATAACGTATAACATGTTTGTATTTGATATTAGTGATGGTTTGAACCTCCAGTGTGAAGAGTGTCGGTGACAGTCTTCGGTACTGCTACATTTTGAAAACTTTTGCATTTGTTTGCAGAAAACCAGTTTTCAAGTACATACTTGTTTTGCCCGGTACTGTACATTTGACTGACTTACCGACTCGCATACTGGTAGCATCATTTCTTCACGAATGTCGGTCCGAGATGTGATGTTGTTTTTGGGCACTGCAAGGAATGGATTTCGGGGGTGATTAGTCGATTAATCAGAAAAAAAGCTTGGTGAAAAAGGTAGGCCTACACAATATGTGCGAAATGCTCTTTAGGTTTTTGATTAACACAGCGGATGTTTGCCTTATCGCATATATATTTTTATCCAAATGTAATTTTAGTTTTTCTTTGATTTGTTAAGATAACTGAACGTGTAACTGCTTGAATAAAAAGAATGGGAAAAAACAACAAGTTTGGCTGTGGCCTATTCATGGACAGTTCCTCACCTATTCCAATGGCTTTCTTCTCTCTGTCTCGCCGGAAGATGACGAGCCTCGGCTCCGGTGGTTTCCGGTATTCGAACTGGGTCGTGTACATGGACGGAGCCAAGGTTTTGTCGGGGGTAGGTTCCTTCAAAAGCGTCTGGACAGCGCACACCGGCTTCTGTTGGAACAAATTGTTGTTGTCACTTGTGATGTATTTCTTGCAAGAACGTAATGGTAGCATTGGTTACCTTTGAAACACATTTATCAGAATTGTCACGTTTCAGGTTTTGTACCGGATTCCATATTTCAACCGGAGCCAATGAAACTAAAGTAAGCATTCAAAAATGGCTTCCATGGGATTTTAGACAATTATAATCTTTTCACGTGGTCAGTATTGACCATCTCTCTCTCACGTGATACTTAAGGTCTTGTTGTCTTTAGGTTACAAACCTTTCCATGTAGCTGGTCAATGTGTCGGGCTAGGCCGGCGTGGGGGTTATGGCGTCTCCCCCCATCGAGCTTCGTCAGCATGAGCTGAGACCGTTTCCGACCACCATCGGCGCATGACACAGGTCGGAATCGAACCCTGTTCTCGGTCGCCCAGTCTACCGCACTAAACTCCTTCCTGCAATCATAAGAACACGAGCATTGTTAAAACTACCTGCAGAGTGAGTGAGTGAGTTAGGTATATTTGAGGAGAGAGAAAATAGTATAGCCCCCTAGATGTGTCACACAACAGGACTATGGGGTTGGCTCGTGGCTGAAGCGTTCGCCCGTCACGCAAAAGACGAGGGTTCGACACTACAACTGGGTATAGAAGAAGCCAACTTGTGGTGAAATTAAAACGGAGTACCTTACTCACAAAATAGCATATATACTGATTTACATGTATTTCAGTATAAAGGTGTAGGAAAATATTTAATAACCACGATGAGATTACAATAACAGCATTCAGCCCCTCGGTAACACCATAAGCTGAGTCTCTGATATCTTAAAATATTCTACACATTATTAAGAAAAACATGCATTTATTTTTTAGCAGCACACTGAAACAATGGTACGGTGAAAGATATCTAATTCTTGAATTGTTGTAAGCAGAGCGCTCCATATGGAAATGATATCCAGTTTCGATTATCCCTAAGTTATGTAACTGACATATTCTTTCGTTTTAGGGTACTATTTTCCATCGCCCGGAGTCAATTCATATAGGATGCTCAGATGCTCGTTAATTGCTTGTTTATTGTTTAACACCGCACTCTGCAATATCTAGCTGTACAGACGCCGTTCTGTGTTAGTATCACGTTGTTGGTATTTTGGTAGAAACAAACACGTCCTTTTAATTGAAAAGGAGTCCAGTGAGCTGAGAGATCTTTCTACATCCTAGATACATATACAAATCAATAATGTAAATTCAACCTTTGACAAATAATAATTAACGCAAAATCCCAGTAAATAAAAAAAATCAGTGTTCTGAATTCAAACCAAAGAAAGAAATAATAAATGCTAATTTACATGAATAATAAATGAATTATCTAGATTCCAACTCCGATACTCAAAAGGTTATTCGCAAGGAACTATCCACACAAAATATACATGAAGAAACAATCGATAATCTTAATGCAAACTCGGACACCCCAAAATTGATGATCAAGAAAGAAAAATAACTTCACGAGAGACGTAAATAAAGTATCAATACATCCATAAAATATTTCTTCTTCAGCAGCTTCCCTATTTAACACATTATTTTGAATTCTTCCCTGCCCTCATCACCGCACTTCCGGTACGATAAGAGACGCGCGCCCAGTTCGCCCAGTGCACTCTATTGACGTGTTGCCGATGGTAATCTCTGTGTTAGTAGTAAGACCCCGGTCTCGGGCAAAGTAACCAAGGCCACGCAAGGATGTCGGCCATTGATCGGCACCATTGCTCTCAGAGAAAGGAAGCACGATGAATAGCAGCTGCACTTACCGAAGAGCGAGTGAATTTTGTTCAACACCGCATTTAACAGTGTTTGTCATGTCTTAGGTTGAAGGCTTGATGTCGGAGGCAGTTGATACAAATTTAGATGTTAACCACATTGATGAAATGCGAGACTGACTGACTGAGTTTGGTTTTACGCCGCTTTTAGCAATATTCCAGCAACATCACGGCGGGGGACACCAGAAATGGGCTTCACACATTGTGCCCAGATGAAATGCGAGAACCTGGGTTTGAGGTTTGGCCCCTCGAACCTACCGTCACCCTAAGGGGCGCAACTCCTGAAAGAAAACTGCGACGCCTTGGACGAGTTTTATATTTGCGCTTCGCTGACGTTGCAGTGACCAGCTTGTATAAGTGAGTGAGTATAAGCGAGTGAGAGAGTATGATTTTACGTCGCTTTTAGCAACATTCCAGCAATATCACGGCGGGGGGCACCAGAAATGGGCTTCACACATTGTACCCATGTGGGGAATCGAACCCGGGTTTTCGGCGTGACGAGCGAACGCTTTAACCACAAGGCTACCCCACCGCCCCCTTAACACAGAATGACAGCATATCGCGGGTAATAATTTACTACGATAGCTGTTTGTGTACTAATACTTGGAATGTATGAACTATACATACATGGCGTGAGGGAGCGAGTGGGCTTTTACGCCGCTTTAGGCAACATCACAGCACACATAGACGTCAGACATGGTGCCCTATTTTCACACTGTCGAGAATCGAACACGGTAATAGCGTCTCGAGGCTACCCCAACGCCCCTACTTACTTGTCCTATCACAGGGTCAGGTGGTGTGGATCAGCAGTCATGTGATTGCGAGAAGTTATATTTAACTGTGCGTGCATATCGTGGTGGGATTGAAGCACATGTTTGTCTTTCAGTTTAATCCACGCCAGTTTGGAGTAGGTCTTGAGTTGGTAAGGATTGCTTGACATATATATTTCAGGGATTTATAAAACAGAAGCCATGGGCAGGTTCATTTGTACACAAATGTACACACAAAAATTAAGTACGGTCCCCATATAAAATATTTGGGTTTTTTCCTGTCTGAATAACAACGGCTACATACCATACCACACACTGTAGATGTAGAATTTATATGATCTTAATGAGTGAGTGAGTGAATGAGTTCGGTTTTAGCAATATTCCAGCAATATCACGACGGGGAACACCGAAAATGGGCTCCACACATTGTACCACTTGGGGAATCGAACCCTGGTCTTCGGCGTGATGAGCGAACGCTTTAACCACTAGGCTTCCCCATCCCCTCTTATTTTCATGAAGTACAGGTCACGATATGCTGAAATACTGCCGAGTCCACTTTAAACTTTAACTCACTTAATATACAAGCGTTGAAGAAATGTATGGCCGTGTTTGTTTCTAAACTATGGTAAACGTTTTCGGTGTCGTACTTGTCGTTTATTTCCACACTTTGGTTTGTGGACAGCCTGAAACAGCATGGTGGAACTTTGAAAGGATTATATGTAAACACGTACCCTAAACACATTCAACATTTTTCCTTCATGGCTGTCAGTGACCAAGGCGTTAAAGTAAACTGACGGTCAAAAGAAAGTAGACACTTGAAAACTGGACTTGTTCAAAATGATAAACGTTATCTACACTTTACTAAGCTGAAAAACCTCTAAACACCACAATGGTAGCAACATGTCACCATGGAGTAACATTTCAATACTAACTTACATTTCAGGCGCCATTAAATATGGGTGTACCTCTTCCTTTGCCCTCGAGCATATTCGAAGCAGCTGATACTTGTATTTCATCAGAAAATGGCGTCTCCTAGATTCCAGGTTTGTATTTTTGTTTTTACTTGTTTGTTTGTTAATGTCGAAAATATTGCAGATATCTCACGTCGTCCTATAAATAACCGTGTCTGGATATTCCAATGACTGATACCATGAGCATATCCTATTGGTTTCTTCCCATTATGACTACTCCCATTCTACTCTTGAACATAAGCATATAATGGATCAACCCCATAAGAAAGTGCTGTACCTGTACAGTTGATTACTCCCAGTTTGTCTACTCTGAACATAAGCATATAATGGATCAACCCCACAAGAATGTGCTGTACCTGTACAGTTGATTACTCCCAGTTTGTCTACCCATGAACATAAGCATATAATGGATCAACCCCACAAGAATGTGTTGTACCTGTACAGTTGATTACTCCCAGTTTGTCTACTCTGAACATAAGCATACAATGGATCAACCCCACAAGAAAGTGCTGTACCTCTACAGTTGATTACTCCCAGTTTGTCTACTCATGAACATAAGCATACAATGGATCAACCCCACAAGAATGTGCTGTACCTGTACAGTTGATTACTCCCAGTTTGTCTACCCATGAACATAAGCATACAATGGATCAACCCCACAAGAATGTGCTGTACCTGTACAGTTGATTACTCCCAGTTTGTCTACCCATGAACATAAGCATACAATGGATCAACCCCACAAGAATGTGCTGTACCTGTACAGTTGATTACTCCCAGTTTGCCTACTCTCTATAATAAACCTATTAGGGAGATTGCTCCCAGAGATCACCCGTATTTGAATCATTAGAAGCTGAGTGTATCAGGGATTTTGTGATAATTCATTGTTTTTTTTGACATTTGGAGATAAATCCTCTACTCTGATTAAAACTTTGTATGCGTAATGCATCTAGTACAGGTTAAGGAAAACCAAGTTCTCTTTACAATTTTTTATATATATATATTTTTGTTGTTGACTTGAGATGACTTGTTTTTTTATTCAGTATTTTCATTACATCGCACATATTAGGTATTTATGAAATTAATACACATTATAAAAATACACATGGTTTTCCGTGTTTTGATAAAAGGATTGGCATAATTCTTGTTGAAGCCTTTTTGGTAGAGAAATGCTCATGTAAGCGTCTGACTTTGTGTGCTGGCGATGGGACTGAACCCAACAAAAGTACTAGAATCTGTACTTTACCCTGGAAGTGTAATCCCAAATATAACATATGTTACATCATACTCTGATTTCTCTACTCAGCTTTTCAGTTATAAGGATACAGAATTTAAATGTTTAACTGTCACATGTATCAACACGTATATAAGACCCAATCACAGCGATTTTGTGTTGTGTATTGGATTGTGTATTGGACGGTAGTCAACCTGGGAGTAGTCATAATGGGAGTGAACCATCATATTATGATAATAATAATAATAATAGCATATTTGTTACGAGCATATATCCATGCTAAAGCATGCTCAAAACGCACAAGATAAAGATGAAATTAATGGTAAAGAGCTACAGTTCAAAGGCTATCTTGAACATGTATGTTTTCAGATTGGATCTAAAAGAATTAAAGTCACAACAGTCTCTGAGGCTCTGCCGGAGACTGTTCCAGGCTATAGATCCTGCATGGACAAAGGACCTCTTTCCATACATCACTGTCTTTACTTTGGGAACAACAAGCAAGCTCTTTTCCTGTGGACGGAGAGATCGGGAAGGCGTGTACACGGTTAGAAGATTGGATAGATAAGAAGGTGCAGTTCCAGTGAGACAGCGAAAAACAAGGCATAGGAGTTTAAACTGGATCCTGAACTCGACTGGAAGCCAGTGGAGAGTGTACAGTATAGGAGTAGACTAAGGCTTAGTCTCTGAATATATATAATTTTGATAGTAACAAACAAGCTCATTTATATTGAAAAGGAGCCCTAGGGAGACCAGAGACTGAGGAAATCTAGACTTGCTTTATTTAGGGCTTTAGCACTGCAGAGAGGGCTTGGCAGTAGTGAAATTAATGTGGTTCAGGGACTGTGAGACAGACTAAGTATAGGAGTAATGTGTTCATATTTTCCAGAGTGAGTCACGATACGGGCGGCGACGTTTTGGACCATATTCAATGACCCACGACAAAGAACCAGAACACAGGCTTATTAAGTCGCCTAATACAATAACCACACGTCGCTACGGACCCTACTATTACCTATAATCCTCAGAGGCCCTTAATCCCAGTACTTGTACCAGAAACACGCTCAGCGTATCACCCGTAAGACGTATTGTAAATTGTTTTTTTAAACATTTCTGCACCAAACCTTTATGGTTCGTTGTGAAAACACACTTAGCCTTGAAGGAGAACCAGGAACCGGGAATCGTCCCCAAACCGCGATACTGTTAAAAGTCTGATGGTTTATGACTGAGAAAGCACTCATAGTAGTTTGTCAGGAGGAGAAGGGCTATAAGCTCTTATATCCCCCGGCTCTTATCTGGATAACCAGTAAATCTGTATCGATCTTAGCATAACGTACATACTCGGAGTGGCGTGGGCTGGGGGCGATTGTTGGGATATACCCTTGAGTGGCCCACTTAAAACCCCTGTTCTGGTGCTAGGTTCGAATCCTAGGTTTGAAGGGCTTGATCTTGCTGTTGTTTTAGTTTTTAAGGTTGGTTGTTAAATGCCCTGGAATAAAGATAAGCTCTCTTTGTTATTTACTATGACCTGTGGAGCCCTGTGAAGATTCGGGTTTGAGTGAGTGAGCGAGTGAGTTTAGTTTTACACCGCACTCAGCAATATTCCAGCTACAGTGGCGGATACAGCTTTTGATTATGTGTGTGTGTGTGTGCGTGCGTGCGCACTCTTGAGAAAGGTGTGTGTGTGTGGGGGGGGGCACACTTCATTTTCACGAGAGTTTCAATGATCATTTAATAAACTTTCAGAACAAAAGGGGGTTGCGCACCCCTGCACACCCTTCTGGATCCGCCTATGAGCTATATGGCGGCGGTCTGTAAATAATCGAGTCTGGACCAGACAACCCAGTGATCAACAACATGAGCATCAATCTACGTAATTGGGATAAGATGACATGTGTTAAACAAATCAGTGAATCTTACCACCCGATCCCGTTAGTCGCCTCTTACGGCCAGTTGTAACACGGGTCTTCACGGGTTGGAGAAGGTATGAACAAGGATCGGGTGTTCACAATGGTTGACCTCATTCTATCAACCACTGGTCCGTCTGGCCCGGATTGGATTATCAACAGGTCGCTGCAAGAAGGCTGGATCCTCCAAACATTTCCTGACTGACTGACTGACTGAATGCCTGAGTGAGTAAGCGAGTGAGTGAGTGATTTCCTCACTGAATCTCTGACTCACTCGCCGACATTTCGCAAAAATCACAAATATATTATCCATGTTATTTAAACCCACCCATTAACAACAATGATGTGTATTTGTCGAAGTATCAACAGATGATTAAACCTCGCAGTACTCATTCACTCTTTGCCCTGTTTGTACGATGGCCTGTGATAGCTAAATGAAAAATTAGACGTTGTCGCGAAATGTTTCTATAGCCAATCTCAACATGGTATTGACTTCAGCTTCCCGTGATTTGACAGTCAAGTTCAAGGCCGTTGTGTTGGAAACTTCCGGTAATGGACGATGGATCCGGGATGATAAATTGTGGTTTAGTGAGTGAGTGAGTGAGTGAGTGGGGTTTCACGCCGTTTTTAGCAATGTTCCAGCAATATCGCGGCGGGTGACACCAAAAATGAGCTTCACACATTGTACCCTTGTGAGAAATCGAACCCGGGCCTTCGGCGTGACGAGCGAACGCTGTAACCACTAGGCTGCTCCGTCCTGTTTGTGGTTTAAGTTACAGGTGGAGAGTTGGTCAGCATGAAACAGGAGAACAGCGTACGAAAGATATTTATTTTGGCAGCCGTCATGCAGATAGCATTGAAGCAAATAATTGAGGTCCGTGGCCAAGTGCAGGAAACGGTGATCCCAATCTCGAAATGAGATCTCGTTTGTCGGCGAGAGTTCATACTCTCTAAATGCCAGCTACAATCAACAGCGTCAAACACGCACAAACAGAAAGGCGCAGTTAAGCGAATAACTGTGACTCAATATTTCATGCTTTTATCTTTTGCTTTGAAACGTCGCGCCTGGGGTCCCTAAATAACGAGATTATGATCCAAGGCTCACTGCAGATCTAAAGGTCAAGACTGGCTAACTCGTAGACTAACGTTTAGTCTCTGAATATATATAATTTTGATAGTAAATATAAACCCCTTTAAATTGACAAGGGATCCCAGTTAGATTGACAATTCAAAACCTGAGGAAATCTAGACTTGCTTCATTTAGTGCTTTAGCATTGCAAGAAGGGCTAGGCAGTAGGGCAAATAATGTGGTTCAGGCACTGTGAGACAGACTAAACTCGGGGCAATCTGGTTACTGGCTATTATCAGTTTCAAAGGTTGGACTTTTGTGTAGGTCCGCGCTGCTGGCGTGTTTTGTAGCCTTGATACTCTGAAAGTATGTTACAGCATCTCTGCCGACAAACCCGTGAAGGTCCGGGTTAGAATGAACCTTCAGTAACCCATGCTTGTCGTAAGAGGCGACTACCCGTGAAGGTCCGGGTTAGAATGAACCTTCAGTAACCCATGCTTGTCGTAAGAGGCGACTACTCGTGAAGGTCCGGGTTAGAATGAACCTTCAGTAACCCATGCTTGTCGTAAGAGGCGACTACCCGTGAAGGTCCGGGTTAGAATGAACCTTCAGTAACCCATGCTTGTCGTAAGAGGCGACTACCCGTGAAGGTCCGGGTTAGAATGAACCTTCAGTAACCCATGCTTGTCGTAAGAGGCGACTAACAGAATAGCCGGCTTGGTTGACACATGTCATGCTCGTGCTGGTGATGAGTGGATTGTCTGGTCCAGACGCGATTATTTGCAGATCGCCGCCATATAGCTGGAATATTGCTGAGTGCGGCGTAAAACTGAACTCACTCACTCACTGATATTCAGAGAAAAGCTGAATGTCTTCTTGCAGGCTCCGGAAAGGGGCGAATGGTGACGAATGGTTAAAAGAGTAGAATCACAATTCGCGAACAATGATAAAATGACGTTGTGCTATGACGTTGTGCTATGGCGGCGGGGAACATCAGAAATGGGCTTCACACATTGTACCCATGTGGGGGATCGAACGCTTTGACAACTAGCATACCACGCCATCCCTATTCTGCTACTGACGGTATCTGTACTGTTTTGCATGATAAATGATACACCCGTGTCTCAGGTTGGCTAACAAGGAACCAAACAAGAAACGGTAATCCGATGGTAATGTATGTATAATGGGTGTCATAGTTACGTTAAGGGTACGTTTGATTAACGGGGGCAGACTGGAATGGCTCTGTGACGTCAATACATAGTGACGTAATGCAAAAGTGTACTTTATCCTGTGATATAAACTCCTGTCGGCGACTTTGGTCTTTTAGCGAAGCATCTTAGAATCGATGGTAATATATTTGTTACGGGTGTCAGTTATCTTTTTCACCTTACGTCTGCTGTGTTTCATCAACTCACGTCTGTCAAGAAACGATTTTATAACATTTGCATTTTGTGTTGAAGTCGTAATTTCAAGGGTACATAGAGAATCTCACCCGAGTGTCTTTTCATATCAAATATATCACTACTAGTTGATAAAGTTACACATATCCGAGGCGTTCCGAGGATATTTTTACTTTTATCAACGAGTGTTGATATATTTGATATCAGAAGACACGAGAGTGAGATTCTATTTATCATTCAAAACCACTTTTCATTAGTTTTGAAAGAAAAATGTACATATCTGAACACGATTCTGCCATTAGACTCGCAGTGCAGCTATTTCATAGCATTGTGACGTCATCAAGTTCATGACGTCATAGCACTGCCATGGCATTGTATAAAATCTGCTGTCAAAACGATATCTCCTAGGAGAAATCGTATGACCTCATACAAGCAATATCTCCTGTGGAACACAGTTTTAGGTGATACGATATCTTTTGCCTGTCAACTGAAGCTATGAACTATCACCGGAACGTTGAAAACTTCTGGTAGAAAAATGAATTTCCTGCACCACCACCAAACATGGTCTAA